CAAAACACTCACGTTGAAGCGACGTTGAATCACCCTTGTGCTGCCCAGGTTCCTGCGCGCGCCGCCGACGACGCCGCCCGAGGGCTCCTGGCCCAAGGGGCTGCTCCTCGTGGGCCTGCCGGAGCTGCTCGTGGAGTCGTCGAAGAGCCGCGCCGCGTCCAAGTGCCTCGCGGCGCTCGGGAACCTGCAGCCCGCGACGGTCGCGGGCGTCCTCGAGCCCGCCGCGCTCTACTCGACGATCCTCGCGAAGAAGCTCGACCCGAAGCGGTGCCTCAAGGTGCCCAAGAGCCTCAAGGGCAAGTGCCTCTAGTAAGCCTGGAGCGTGTCTTTCTCGCGAGGCGTCGTAAACCCCCGGAGCGTCCTAGACGTCGCGAGGAGGCCGCCTTACGCGAGCCCGAGGGCGACGACGCGTCCGGAGGCCGCGCGTCCTAGAGCGACATGAACTCGGGCTTGTGCTGCTGCCGCGCGAGCTTGCGTTTTCGGTGGCGCGCCTCCTTGGAGCTCCACATGAGGCACGGGTGCCGCGCGTCGGCGTTGTCGCCGACGGCGCAGTAGGCCGCGTGCATCGCCTCCACCTGCTTCTTCATGTCGTCGGACCGGTCCGGCCGGTGGTCCGGGTCGTCGGCGCGCTTCTGGATCTGGGCGCAGAGCGCCGTCTCCGCGCGGCCGGCGCCCGGGTGGCACCAGAAGTCGTGCATGAGGTTCATCTCCTTCTCGACCTCTTCTTTCGAGAGCTTCGGTGGCATCTTGGCCTCCGCGTCGGCGCTCGCGGCCTCGTCGGCGGCGTAGGCGATTGGTGTCACTAGCATGAGCAGCGCGGTGAGGCGCATGGTGGTCGCGGAGCAGGGCGCGGCCGACGACACGCGGAGCCTGCGATGAACGCAAGCGCGACTCTCGCCACAAACGCTGAGGTCGATCGAGGTGCAGCAACCCTGTCGAGCTCGGCCGTCATCGACGCCGAAGCAATCTCTGCCCCTCGACGCGCGCATCCGCCTTGACGCCGCCCGTCGCCCCGCCGCTCTCGCCGCCGCCATGGCGCGCCGGCCGCGCCCGCCGGAGAAGCGCCAGGCCATCGGCGACCTCTTCACGGAGCGCCTGGACTACGCGCCCTTCGTCATCATCGTCATGGGCTTCGGCGTGCACCTGATCATCAACTCCTACGACTACAGCGACCTCTACTACGGGGGCTTCGTGCTGCTGATCACGGCGACCTACGTCATCGCGTCGGCGCCCCCGCGGTCCACGGACACGCGCGCCGCGGCGCCGTCGGGACGCGCGCCGGTTCCGCCGCGAAACCGAACCCCCGCGCAGGCTCTTCATGTTCTTCCTCGTGACGACGATCTACTACGCCGTGCTCTGCACCTTCATCTCGTCGAGCGTGCGGGACCGCCACGCGAAGCTGCGCGACGGCACGTGCGAGGCCGTGCGTCCGCGGTGGGTCTGCCAGTTCAACGTCTGCTTTTGGGCCGTCTGCGTCAGGGCAGCAAAAGGGTGATTCAACGTCGCTTCAACGTGAGTGTTCCGCGCGCGCGCGTTTCGGAAACAGCACCCACGCTTCGAGAGCGCTCCGAGAGATGATCGCTCGTCCAAAAATCAGCCGAAACGAGCGGAAAACGACCGAGATAGGAGCCTTTGAAGCTGGGAATGTCGCACCCTTGTGCTGCCCAGGTCTGCGTCTGCAGCCTCTTCTACTCGTCGCTGAGCTCGCTCATGGCGCTGCGCATGACGCCGGAGTTCGCCATCGACATGCACTGGAAGAGCTCGTCCGTGCTGCTCTTCATCATCGGCCTCATCAACGCGATCGATTTAGCCATTATTTGCGTCACGCCGGGCCTCGCGTCGTCCTACGGCTACCGCTGGCGCGCGATCCCCTGGAAGGCGCTGATCACGTCGGAGTGCCTCTTCTGCGCCTTCCGCTGCAGCCGGACGCGCACGGGGAAGCTCATCGAGGCGCCGCGGAATTTAGCCGTCGCGGCGACGCCCGCCGAGGCCGCGCTCTGGCAGGAGCTCGAGGACTCCATGCTCGCCGTCATCTGCGTGTCGCGGGACCTGCGCGTGGCCATCTGGAGCGCCGGCGCCGCGGATTTGGTGAAGATGGGCGCGGCGCCGCGGACGCTCCGGGATCTGCCGTTCCGGACGCCCGAGGACCGCGCGCGCGCCTGTGTGGAATTCAAATCTTCAACCCGACTTCAATGTGCGCGTATGCGAATGTTTTGACACGAGCACTTCCGCCGTGCTTCGAGAACTCGCTAAGAGCAATCGATTCGTCCAAAAATCAGCCGAATCGACTTCGATTTGACCGAGCTCGAGAATTCTCAAGTTTGGCCCCGACGTCCCAGCTCACTGGTTGATTTGCACACAGGCGCGCGCGATCGCGCAGGTCGAGGCGGCCTTCGCGGGGGGCGTCGAGCCGCGGAAGCGCGAGCCCTTCGTCTTCTGGCTCGACGGCGCCGGCGGGGCGTTGGCGCTGTCCGTGGAGGCCATCGCGTCGTCGCGCGACGGGGTGGATTCGGTCGCGCTCTTCTGCACGCCCATGGACCCCATGCTCCTCTCCTTCGGGGGCGAGGGCCGGGACCTGCGGGGCCGCGCGGCGCAGCCGACGCTGAAGGGCGGCGCGCCGGGCGAGGCGCCGACGGCCGTGCAGCGCCTCTTCCGGTCCGAGCGGTCGGCGGCCGCGCCGCTGCTCTCCGACGGCGGGTCCGTGCCCGAGCTCTACGACGGGTCCGTCGCGTCCTACGACTCCGTCGCCGAGACGCCGCGCGTGGCCGGCGAGCGGGGCAAGGCGGGGCCCGTGGGCGTCGACTTCGAGACCGCGGAGGGCCCGGACGCGGACCCGAGCGAGGTCCTGCTCCTGCAGTTCCGCGCGTCGACGGGGCGCATGACGGGCAAGGCCTTCGCGCCCCACGCGGGCGTCACGCGCGCGCCGGACCTGACGGAGCGGAGCGGCGTGCTGCGGCGCGGCGTCACGGTGGACCGGCCCGGGGTCTACGCGTGGGCCTACGTCTGGGGCGAGACGTTCGTGAGAGTCTCGGCTCCCTCGTCCTACGCGGCGCCCTGGGTCTTCGGCGGCTTCGGCGGGGCGACGTCCTGGCGCCACCTCGTGGACTTGGTCGAGGAGAGCGAGGACGACTCGGCGTCGGACCCGACGAAGCGCTGCGTCGGCGGCCACGTCGAGGTCGGCGAGGATTCGACGCTATTGCGGTGGTGCGTGCGCTTGGAGGGCGTGACGGACCCGGAGGTCGTGCTGCCGCTGGCCGGGCGCGTGCCCCTCCCCTTCGAGAAGCTCTGGCTGGTGTCCCTGCGCCACGACGGCTACCTCAAGGAGTTCTCCGGCGGCGGCTCGTTGGCCGAACTGGAGGCGTCGGGCCGGCTCCAGGTCGTCTCCGACGCGCACGTCGTGCTCAAGGCGACGACCGTGTCCGCCGAGGTCTACGCGGCGGCGAAGCGGCGCGTCAAGGCCTTCGCCAAGGCGCGCCAGGAGCTCAAGCGGGCCCACGCGGCGCCGTCCGCGACGGACAGGGCAGGAAAAGAGAGCGAAATTCCCAACTTCAAAGGCTCCTTTCTCGGCCGTTTTCCACTCGTTTCGGCTGATTTTTGGACGAGCGATCATCTCTCGGAACGGTCTCGAAGCGTGAATGCTTTTCCCGGAACGCGCGCGCGCGGAACACTCACGTTGAAGCGACGTTGAATCTCTCTTGTCCTGCCCAGGCGACCGAGGCGGAGCTCGACGACGCGCGGCGCGCGTACGACGCGGCCAAGAAGCACATCCAGGCCGCCTTCGCCACCTACCTGCGGGGCAACGAGGAGCGGCAGGCGCGGCGCTCTCTGGGCATCCTCGACGAGCGCTACTCGCGGCACCAGACGCGCCTCGAGCTCCTCTTCGCGGGCAACGCGTGCGAGCGGTCGAGCCTCGCGCGGCTGCCCGAGAACCTCGTCGAGCACGTCGCCGGCTACATCACGATGACGGACCACGACCTCCACATCGCCTGCAGCCGCAACGCGACGCCCCCCGACGGCCTCGCCTAATAAGCGTTAGTCGTCGCGGACGTGCTTCTTGCCCGCGAGGACGTTCTGCGTTCGGAGGAGCGCCGCGGGGTCCAGGAGGCCCTTGGTCCGCGCGCCTTCCGGCGCGTTCTTCAGGATGTCCTCCAGCGGGTCGTCCGTGCCGTCGGCGAAGACGCGGTCCCGGTTCCGCGCGATGGCCTCGCCGACGCGCGCGCGGACGTCGGGGTCGCCGCTGTCGTACAAATTCTTGCAGACGTCGTAGGCCAGGCCCCCGGCGTTGCCGTCGAAGCGCGGCGCGCTGCGCTTCGCCTTCTCCTGGTCGCCGCCGGCGCAGGTCAGGGCCGTCCACGCCGGGTAGGTCGTCTTCCCGTCGCCGTCCCGCCTCGGCTTCTTGTGGAGTTTGACGGTCACGCGCCCGCTCTTGACGACGTGGCGGCTCGCCGACGGCACGACGTCGTCGTCGAGCGCCGTTTTTTTCAGCCGGTAGTTGGCGCCGCGCAGGCCCAGGACCTTGAGGTCGAAGGCGTCCGTTTGGACGTCGCACGTGACCTTTGCGGCGTTTTCGACGCCCGCCAACCCCACGACGACGTTGACCCACGCGCTGTGCTCGTCGCCCTGGTCCCAGCCGAACTTCGTGATGGGCGTGAAGACCGGGCCCTCCGCCGCCGCCGGCGCCGCGGTCTCGATCTTCCGCGGCGCGCCGCCGCCGCCGCCGCCCGCGAGCGGCCGCGGCGGCGGGCAGTAGACCTCGTCGTCGCTGTCGTCGCCTAATCCCGCGTAGGGGTCGGGCCCGGGCGGCCGGCGCCGCCGGGGCGCCGGCGCGGGCTTGGGCGCGGGCTTGGGCGCCGCCGGCGGCGCCGTCGCGCGGTGGAACGCCGCGGCGAGCGCCTCCTCCTCCGCGGCTTTGGCCTCGGCCCGCGCCCGGGCCTCCGACGCCTCGGCGTCGCGCCCCGCGGCGATGCCCTCGACGTAGATCGCCTCCGCGGCCGCGCCCTTCATCGCCTCGAGGTCCCGCAGCATCTCGCCGGCGACCGCGTCCCGGTTCTTCTTGAGAGCGTACCTGGCCGCGGGCGCGGCCTCCTCGGCCTCCGTCGCGGCGGCGGCCGCGGGCTCGTCCGCGCGCGCCGCGACGGCCTCGCCCGCGGTCCCGGCGGGCGGCGCCGCCCGGCGCACGGCCTTCTCGGCGGCCGCGGACCGCTCGGCGGCACGGTCGCGCGCGCGGTCCGCGGCCGCCGCGCGGCGATGGTGCACCGCGCCCGGCTTCGCCGGCGCCGCCGCGGGCGTCGGCGTCGCCGGCGCCGCCTCGGGCTTCCGCGCGAAGGCCGAGAGCGGACGACCGCGGGCGCCTGCGCCGCGACCTTCTTCAGGCCCTCGCTCGGCGGCCGCTCGGGCGCGAAGCGCGCCGGCGGCGGCCGCTGCTTCGCCGGCGGCTTCGCCGGCGGCTTCGCCGGCGGCTTCGTGAGGTCGATCTTCGCCATGAGCGCCTCGAGCTTCCGCTCCTCGCCGGGGATGCGCAGGCGCGGGTCCACGGGCACGCCGCCGTCGAAGGCGAGCTCGCCCGCGTCGTCGTCGTCGAGCGTCGGCGTGCGCGCGGGCTTGGGCTCGAGCCGCGAGGGCGCCGGCGGGAACTGGGGCGCGGGCCCCTGCTTCTTCCTCGGCGCCGGCGGCGCGGCGTCCGGCAGCTTCGTCGCCGCCGCCGCCGGCGCGCCGCCGTCGCCGTTGAGGAGCTCGAGCTCGCGCGCGGCCGTCTTGCGAACGAACGACGCGGCGAGCTTCTTCACGGCGGGCCGCGACGCGCGCGCGAGCAGCCGCTTCGCCTCGGCGAGCTCGGCGGCGAGGGCCGCGACGTCGCCGGCGGCCGGCGCCACGTCGACGGCCGGCGCGGGCGCCGCGTCGCCGTTGAGGAGCTTCAATTCGCGCGCCGCGTGCTTCCGCGCGAAGCTCGAGAGCAGCCGCCGCAGCGACGGCGCCCGGGCCTCGGCGAGGCACCGCTTCGCCTCCGCGAGGTCCGCGGCGACCTCCTGGATGAGGTCGTCGTTGGCGGCAGAGAGGTACGGCGCCGCGCCGCCGAGGCGGTGGATCTTGTCGTCGAGCAGCTCCCGCGCCTGCGCCTCGCGCCCGTCGCTGAGCTTGAGGTTCGCGAAGAGCGTCTTGTCCATGTGGGCCTCGAAGCCGGACATGGTCGACCTAGGCGTCAGGGAGGGCGAACTGCGGGGATCTTGCTGCGGCGAGGCTCTCGCTAAGAGAGGCCCATGCCTTCCCCCAAAGACGATGTTGCCCTTCAAAATGAACCCGTGCAAGTGTCCAACCGGGCAGCTAGCTCGATCGAGTTCTTCGTTCGTCGTTGTCCGACGACGATGTGGGGCGGGCGCGACCCCTTCGACGACCCGTTCTTCACGGGCCGCCCGGAGCGGTCCCGGGACCGCGGCGACCGCCGCGACGACGACCGGCGCCTCGAGCGGCGCGACCCCTTCGCCCTCATGGACCAGATGATGGGCGGCGGCATGCTCGGCGGCTTCGGCGGCGACATGGACATGGACCGGCTCCACGAGCGGGGCGCGGGCGGCGGCGGCGGGTCCTTCACGATGATGAGCTCGTCCACGGTCATCTCCGGCGACGGCCGGAGCCGCACGGTCACGAGCCACTCGAGCCAGCACGGCGGCGGCCCGATGGTCAGCGAGCGCCGCGAGCAGGTCCGCGGCGGCGGCAGCGAGACCATCTCCTGCGCGCGGCGCATCGGCGACCGGAGCCGGACCATCACGAAGGAGCGCGACCGCCGCGGCGACGAGCGGACGATGGACACCATCGAGAATATGGACGCGGACGCCGTGGAGCTGGACCGCTTCGACGACGACTTCCAGCGCCACGCCAGCGGCCGGGCCCAGATGCTCGACTTCCAGCGCGGCTTCCCGCCGGGCATGCTCCAGGAGGCGCAGCGCGGCGGCGGCGGCCGCCGGCCGAGCGACGCGCGCGCGCTCGAGGCCTACGACCTCGACCGCGACGACGAGGCCCGGCCGCCGCGCCGCCGGAGCCGCTGGGGCTTCTGAGGCGCGCACGTTCCCTCCCTTAGCGGTAGGGCCCGTAGCAGAGGGGCACCCACGCGGACACGGCCAGCGCGGTCACGGGGAACGCGAAGAGCAACACCCACGCGGTCCCGCACTCGAAGCACGCGTCGACGACGACGAGGCACCGCCGCGCCTTGCCGCAGCCCACGAGCGGCTCGCCGTCGCCGTTGTAGCCCCGGATCGCGGACCAGATGCGCTGGCACGTCGCCGTCTTGAGCACGTCGCCGAGCAGCGGCGCGCGGTTGATCGTCGCGACGAGCCCCGGCGCGTTGTGCTCGATGAAGCGCCGCAGGGTGCGCACGCCCTCGACCTGGAACCCCTCGAGCGTGCCGTAGGGCACGGACGTCGCGAGCGCCTTTTCGTAGTGGTGCGCGTCGCCGGGCTTGAACAGGATCTCGAGCCAGCGCGGGAGAGCTTCGCCCGTGCGGTAGCTCGCGTAGCGGTTGAAGATGCCCTTCTTCCAGTGGCCGATGCCGTGGCGCTGGCCGAAGCGCGCGAAGAGGCCGTAGCGCTCGACGTCCTTCTCGCCGTAGTACTCCTGCAGCGACGCGTCGACGGCGTCGTCGTTCCGCGCCCTCGCGTCCTTCCTGCCGTCGGCGAAGCGCCGTTCCTTCGGGCCCGTGATCTTGAGCTCCTTGAGGCTCTTCTTGGGCACGTAGAGCAGCAAGACCATCTCCACGGCCGCGGACCGGAGGTAGCGGAAGTTCGTGTCGATGTGCGGGCTGTCCGCGAGGTACTCGTCCAGATCCAAGATGAACTCGATCATGAGCGAATTCAGGATGACCTCCAGGGGCGAGTCGTGGTAGAACAGGAGGTACATGTTCAGCGAGTAGAGGAGGACCTCGAAGGCCGAGTTCATGAAGGTGTGGAGCCGATATCCGATCTTCATGAGCACCGTGTCCGCCTCCTTGCGCGCGACGAGCGCCCGGATGCTGATGAGGCGGTCGACGCCGTCCTTGCTGTGGCTCGGGAAGAAGAACTTGTGGTAGGAGTCGGGGATGACCTTGACGAGGTAGAGCACGACGACGAGCTCGATCGCGGCCTTGGTGAAGCGCGCGCCGTGGCCCTTGGCGTCGACGCTCGCGGCGCGGTCGCTGCAGAGCGCGGCGACGTCGCCGTCGGAGCGGCCCGCGTAGAGCGTGTACATGAGGACGACCGCGGGGAAGCCGCACTGGAGCAGCAGCGTCGCTAACACGGAGAGGAGGCCGCTGCCCATGCAAGCCAAGTAGAGGTACGTGCTCGCCTTGCCCGCCTCGAACTCCCAGTCGCCGACGGCCTCCGCGATGCGCCTGAAGGGCTCGATGAGCAGGTCCTTGAGCGCCTGGCGCGCCCCCTGGGGGGACCGGTCGTAGCGCGCCGCGAAGGCGCCGTTGCGCTCGTCCCGGAGCCAGCGCCGGTACGCGGCCTTGCCGTGGTCGACGTAGGGGATCGACTCGAAGTCGTCGCCGTGGCCCTCCTGAAACCTCATGCGCGCCTCGAGCGACACGAGCGCGTGCGCCTGCCAGACCAGGGGCGCCACGCCCCAGTAGGCCAGCGTCGCCTCGCGCGCGACGCGCGGCGCGGGGCGCGGCCCGCCGTAGCCGTGCGAGAAGCCCGCGGCGCTCACGACGGAGTAGACGACGGCGGCGCCGTCCCTCTCGCCGTCGCGCGCGGCCGTCACGACCGCGAGGCGCCAGCGCATGTCCGCGCCCTCGCACTCCACGACGTCGCCGGGCTCGAAGCGCCAGAGCCGCGCCGTGGCGTCCCAGCGGCTCAGGGGCCGCGCGAGGATGTGCATCGACACGCGTTTTTCCAGGACGAGCGCGTGGTGCACGGCGAGCGCGCGCCGCACGGTCTCGCGCTCGCCGTCGGCTCTTTGCGCCACCACGGACCGCTTCTCCGTGTTAAAGTAGGGGCTGTGGTACTCCTTGAGGCCCGTCCGCGTCAGGTCGCCCGTCGACCCCGGGCTCAGCAGGAACTTGTCCGCGTCCGCGTTGCTCGCGCGGTGCACCGAGTCGTCGGAGAACGCCTCGCTGTAGGCCTGCGGCCGCGTCGACGCCGTGGCGCCCGTCGCGTCCCAGGCATCCTCGAAGTCGATGCCCAAGTCGTCGTCGCCGCCGTCGCCGGACCCTTGGGTCGAGTACGGCGCGTCCGGCTTGCAGGCGCTGTCGAAGAGCTCGGACCAGTTGAAACTGTACATGGCCGCTGTCGGAAAAGGCCTTCCGCCTCTTCGTCTAGGGTAGCGCGAGCTAAACTTCCATCACAAGACCATCGGCGGCATGGGCTTCGAAGCAGCAACGCCTTTGTTGATGCCGATGACGCTGCTCTCGCGTGGGAAACATTGTATTTTGCTGAAGCCGATTCGGGCTGTCGCGTGAATTTCGCGGCGCGGCAGCCCACGGGTGGGCAGCCCACCCGACCAGAACAAACGCATCGCAATGCCGCGCTTGGAGCGCCAGGGCAGCGAGCTGCAGATGCAGGGCTGGCTGGTCAAGCGCAAGAAATCCGGCGAGACGCACATCGGCGGCTCGCGCACGAAGCGCTTCTTCAAGCTCTGCTACTTCGCCGGCGGCCGCGAGAGCACGACGGGCCGCGACGACCAGCTCGCGCTCGCCTACTATCGGCGGCCGAAAGATGAGCCGCAGGAATGGCTCAAGGTGAAGGACATCCAGAGCGTCGTCTCGGTGCTGCCCACCGAATTCACCGTCGTGCATCCCAAGCGGTCGTACGTGCTCCGGACCGCGTCGAAGGAGGAGTGCACGGCGTGGGTGAGCGCGATCCTCCTCGCGATGCGCCGCGCGGCCCAGATCACGCCGCGCAAGCTCGATCCCACGAGCCCGTGCTGCTCGTCGCACTCGCGCGACAAGCGGCGGATCCTCGGGAGCGCGAACCGCGGCCCCGCCAAAATCGCCATCGAGCAGACGGGGTTCTCGAACGGCGAGAGGGAGGCTTTCTACTAGAGAAGTACTAAAATTCGGCAGCATGCGTGTTCGACTTACTCCGCGGGCGCCTCCTCTTTGGCCGCGGCTTCCGCGGGCGCCTCCGCCGCGTCCTCCTCCGCCGCGTCCCCGCCAAAAACATCGGGGAGCTGTTTCCAGCCGGAGTGTTGTGAACGCATCGTGTTTGGATTGTTGTGAATCTCTCGCTTCGTCGGGACGCGCGAGTCCGGCGCAAAGACGTGCTTCCGGACGCCATGTGTAACTTCAACTTTAAGTTCAACATAGATCGCAAGTTCAACTTGAACTTCAACAAATCCCGTCTCGTTCCAGCCGCCGCTTTGTCCAGGGTCATTGGGCAGCGGCGCCGCACCACACGGGGAACGACGGTCGCGCGGCCCGACCGCTATCGCGGATTTCCCCTCCCGTAGTCCTGGCGCGCGGATCACTAGCGCGTAGCACTAGGGAGTGCTAGGCGTGGAACCCGGTTTGACGTAGGGAACTGTGAAAATCGAAAGTCCGAGAAATGAAGCCATTTTCGCAGGAGAACGAAACCTATGCGTCGGTAGCACAGAACGATCGTCGAATCGACAAGTTTCGACGAAAATCGGGATTTCTGCCATGCGTCGGAAGCACAAAAACGACCGTCCGAACACGATTCGTTCACAACGGTCCAGCTGGAAACAGCTCCCCAATGTTTTTTGCGTCCCCGCCGACCCGGCGGAAGCTCACGACCGCCAGGATCATCTTCCGCAGCGCCGTCTCGAGCCGCACGTCCGCGACGCCCTTCAGCGCCGCCTTCAGCGCGTCCGTGTCGTAGTTCGGCGGCAGCTTCAGCAACACGTGCTTGCAGCGGAAGCCCGGCGCGTTGCAGCGCGCGCACAGAGCCGCGAGGTCGACGCCGGACATGTCGAAGGACACGGAGCCCATGGGCCGCGCGGAGACCTCGGGCCCGCCCCACGGAGGGTCGAGGAAGAGGAGGTCCGCGCGGCGGACCGCGGCGCGCGCGGCCGCGAGGTCGCCGGAGACCTCCGCCGGTTCCTCGGCGGCCGTCGCGGCGGCGATGTCGCCGTGGAGGCACGTCGCGTCGAGGCCCGCGGTCTCGACGTTGTGCTTGAGGAATTCGAAGCGCGTCGCGTCGAGCTCGACGCCCGTGACGCGCGTCGCGCCCGGCGCCCTGGCGAGCGCGCGCGCGAAGCTCAGCACGTTGCCGCCGACGCAGGCGCAGCCGTCGCAGATCTCGGAAAAGGGCGCGCCGGGGAGCTTGAGCGCGAGCTTCGTGATGCGGTCCGCCGTGCGCGCGTCCGTGACGCTGTAGACGGCGACCTCGTCGAGGAGCATGCCCTTGCGCGCGGCCTCGGAGCACTGCGTGCCCCAGAGCTGGAACCGCTTCCCGTCCGACACCTCCACGGCGCGCGACGCCGCCGTCTGCGAGGCGGAGGACTCGGCCATGTTTTGTTGAGCCCAAAACGGCCGATGATGAAGAACTGATTGAAGCGTCGAGCATGGATGTATGAAATGCTGCCCGCGATGGGCGCGGCGCTCGCGATCCTGCTCGCGCTGCCCGCGCTGGCCGTGCGCGAGCGGCGCATGTGCACCCCGAGCCTCTGCGTCGGCGGCGACGACGGCGCCTTCGACGCGTCGCTCATCTCGTCGGCGCGCGTCGTCCATCGCTTCGCGCCGACGGACCCGGCGCGCTACCTGTCCGTGCTCGACGTCGGCGGCGGCGGCGCGTGGCTCGCGGCGCGACGCGGGTCCTTCCCCTCGGCGGACGGCGCCAACATCTCCGCGGTCGTCTGGACGGGCTGCGACGCCGAGCTGCGGAGCCCGGCCGGCGGCGCGTGCGCGGACGCGGCGCCCGTCGAGCTCTTCCGCGGCGACGCCGTCGCGCACAACGTGGGCTTTCTCCTCGCCGGCGGCGCCCTCCACGCCTTCGGCGGCCTCTTCGACGAGCGCGATCCCGCGCGGCCGGGCGTCCGCGCGGCGGGGCCCGTCGCTTTGACGCGAGAGGGTTTGGAGGCGCTCGCGAGGGCCGACGTCGCGCGGGCGCCCGTCGTCCTCGGCGGCGCCCACGCCGGCGGCATCGACCGCCGGCCGCGCACGGGCACCTACTGCGAGTACGACGGCCGCGTGTCCGCGGCGGCGGCGCGCGGCCGCGTCGTTTTGCTGGCGCGCGCGAACCTCGCGCGGAACCGCACCGCCGACGGCGGCTTCGGCGGGCGCTCCGTCCAGGCCGCCGCGGGCGCCGTCGCCGGCCTCGGGGACCCGGCGACGCTCCTGGGGCCCTTCTTCCCCGCGGACGTCGCGGCGTTCGCGCCGCGCGGCGCGTGCGCGGCGCCCGCCGCGGGCGACAACGTCTACTTCGCGGCCGTCAACGCGAACCCCGTCGACGCGTCGACGTTCCTGGGCCTCTTCCCCGTCGTGCGCAACGGCGCGGATCGCGACGACGCCTACGTCGCGCTGGCCGTCTCCTGCGACGGCGTCGCGTTCTCCGCGTTCCGCCGTTTGCTGAACTCGACGCCCGCGAGCCTCGGCCGCTCGAGCGACCACCCGGCGGACGGGTTCCTCGTCGACGGCGGCGCCATCTACTTCTACGTGCACCGCGGCGTGCCCGGCGTCTTCGACGACGACCACGGGTCGAGCTCGATCGCCGGGTCGCGCGTCGTCCGCTACGAGCTCGACCGGCCCGCGCTCGCGGCCTACACGGCGGAGGCCAAGGCGTCGCTCGCCTCCTGCGGCGCGTCGCCGGCGCCGGCGGCGCCCCGGTCCGCCTACGACCGGTGCTGGCTCGAGTGCGCGCGCGACGCGCGGCGCTCGAGCCGCCACCGCGACGACCGCGCGGTGGACGCGTGCTTCGCCCACTGCCTCGGGAGGCACTGCCCTTATTAAGCGTCGGACGTCAGCACGACCGTGAGCTGCGCCCACTGCCTCGGGAGGCACTGCCCTTAATTAAGCGTCGGACGTCAGCACGACCGTGAGCTGCTGCTTCTTCTTGGAGAATTTCGCCGACGCGGCCGCCGGGTCCGCGGCGAAGGGGAGCGCAATCTTCGCCTTGCGGCGGTCGACCTTGAGGCGGAGCGTCGCGCCGGAGACGTCCAGGTCGACGTCCTTCATGGACGCGGCGCCGTCGAGCTTGGCGACGATCTGGACGCGCCGCCGGCCCGACGCGTCGCGCTCGAGGTCCTTGGACTCGTACGCGAAGCCCGGCGCGTCCGCGGCCGCCGCCGCGGCGGGCGGCGGCGGCGGCGGCGCGGCGGCCTTGGCGGCCTTGGCGGCGTTGAGGCGGTCCGTCGCCTTGGCGTCGGCCGTGGCGATGAAGCCCTCCTTGAAGTCCTTGAGGACGCCCTTCTTCTCGCGCTTCCTGGGGGCCTCGCGCTCAACCTCGGGCTTCTCGGGGAACTTCTCCGCGGGCGCCGGCTCCGGCTTCCCAAAGTCGCCGAACATGCCGCCGAAGTCGAGCTTGTCCGCGAAGGATCGCAGCTGGTCGATGGTGCCGTCGTCGTCGTCGTCGGCCGGCGCCGCGGCTTTCTTCGTCGCGTTCGAGAACTCCCTGTCGACGTCGGCCATCATCGCGTCGAAGACCGGGTCCGCGACCCTCGAGTCGCGCGTCGCCGCCTCGTCGTCGCCGTAGAGCGACGGCTTCGTGTCGTCGTCGAGGAAGCCCTTGGTGATCTTGTCGAAGGCCTTGGTGGAATAGTCGGGCTCCGCCGGCGGCTTCGGCGCCGCCGCCGCGGGCTTGTTGCCCACCTGGCCGCCCTCGGCGTGCTTGCGGAGCGCGGCGTCCTGTTCCTCCTTGGTCATCTGCGTCGTGTCGACGACCTTGCACTTGGACATGAAGCGGCTGTAGGTGCCCTCCTTCTGCGAGTCGCCCTGCGAGCTCCCGTTCGGGTAGAGGGGCTTGGCCTGCTTCGCCTTGTCGCCCGCGAGGAAGCCCTTCGTCACCGCGGGCTTCTTCGGCTTCGCCGGCGCGTCGCTCGAGATGTCGAAGCCGTCGGTCGACGCCTCGAGGGCGTCGTCGGGGGCCACCTCCTGGATCATGACCTTCTTCTTCTGGGCCGCCGTCTCGGGCAGCTTCATGGCCAGCCCGTTCTCCTTCTCGCGGTCCGCGGCGAGGCCCCGCGCGCGCGCGAGGAGGCTCTCCGGCGACGCGGCGACGCCCGTCGCCTCGGCGTTCGGCTTGACGTCCTTGGGCGGCGCCTTCTTCTTCTCCCGGGAGCCGGGGGGCGCGGACTGGAACGAGACCTCGTCCAGGGGAAAAGCCACAGGCTCGTCGCCGGCCTTGCCGCCGCCGCCCTTGTACTTGGAGTTGATGTGCTTCCAGCTCTTGGCGTCCGTGTCGACGGCGAGCTTCGACTCCGCCGCGACCCAGCGCACGGCGAGCGCGGAGACGTCGCGCTTGAACGGCGACCGGGGCCCCTCGGCCGCGACCTGGTCCAGGACCCAGGGGTGGAAGAGCACGTCGATGGCCTGGCCGCTGCCGACCTGGTCGCCGGCGCCGGCGACGGCGCAGGGCCGCGCCGAGCCGACGACCATGGGGATCTGCAGGCCCGACGCGGACGACCAGCCGGGTTTTTGGGATTTCACGTCCACGGGCAGCCCCGCGGCGTCGTTGGGCGGCTGGAGCGCCGGGTGCGCGCAGCAGTTGATCATGAGCTTGCCGCCGTTGTACTTGAGCGCCGCCTTGATGACGTAGCCCGCCGCCGGCGTCAGCGCGTCGGGCGTCATGAGCTTCGACATGAGCTCGTTCGCCTTGGCGTCGTCGGGCTCCATGCCCTCGGCGAGCTCGTCGCCGTTGGCCTTGGCCATGTGCTTGGCGCTCTCCGTGAGCAGCTCGCTGTAGCCGTCGGGGTCCTCCTCCGACATCTTCGTCAGCTTCTGCCACATGCCGTCGGCGTTGGCGAGCTCCGACGCGGGGATGCCCATCTGGCGCGCCATGGCCTTGACCTCCGCGGGGATCTTCCCCACGCCTTTCGCCGAGTAGTCGCCGGGCCGCGCCGACTGGCGCTTGCCCTGGTTCATGGCGGCCGGCGAAAAGGCGCTGCGACGCGCGCGCGATGGGGGCAGCCTCGGTTTTGCGCTGCGCGGCCAAAGCGCACCCAACGGCTCAACGAGCCGACCGTGCCTCGGCTGCCGCGACGCGGACGATGGTCGCGTCGCGGCTCTTGGCAGCCCTCGTGCTCCTCGGCCGCGCTTCCGCGCGCGACTGGCGGACGGCCGCGTTCTGGCCGGACGTCTTCGAGACGCTGCAGAAGGGCCGCTTGCCGACGCAGCCGGCGCCGCGCCGCTGCATCCTCGGCGCGTTCAACGCCACGGGCTGCCGGGCTGCCATTTTATTGCCGGCGACGTACCGCGAGAGCGCCGCGAGCCTCGAGAGCCAGGCGGCCGTGGCCCGGGCCCTGCACGCGGGCCTCGGCCACCCCGTGGCCGTGCTCGTCGTCACCGAGCCGCCGTACGACGCCGCGAGGATCCGCCACGCGTTCCGCGAGCACGTCGTGCACATCCGCGAGCTCGCGGATGCGGAGCGGCGCGCCCAGGACCGGTTGCCCTTCTGGCTGCGCCAGTGGTACAAGCACGCCGTCGCCGTGCGCATGCTCGACCACCTCGAGGCCCACTCGCGGCACCCCGTCGACGTCGTCGCGAAATTCCGCTTCGACAGCCACCTCGTCTTCCGCGACGACGCGGCCATCCTCGCCATGGCGACGCGGAGCTTGGCGGAGCCCGACGCGTTGTGGGCGCAGATCGAGATGCAGTGGTGGGGCGCGGCGGCGGTCGCGAGGACGTTCCTCGACGCTCTTTTGACGGACGCGCGCGAGCCCGAGGCCTACGAGCTCGTGCTCAACGGGACGCAGCTCCGCCGCTGGGACGCCAAGCCCACGAAAGAGTGGTTCGACATGATGGCGGCGTCGGACCTCATGTTCCCGGGCTACGGGGACACATCCCTCGACGAGCTGCGCGCGTCCGGGGACGCGAGGCGATGGGTCCGGACGAAGCCGTCGTTCTGGCCCGGCGTCTCGAGCGAGGAGCTCTTCGTCGGCGCGGCCCTGCGCCACGACCTCGTGATCAAGGACCTGACGACGGCGCCGGGCGTCAAGGAGGCGACGTGGAACAAGGACTGGATGCGGTGGGTCGAGGTCGACGGCTGCAAGCTCGGCAACGTCGTCAAGCTCGACGGCAGCGACGACGTCGCGACCTACGGCGCCGCGGCGCGGGACTGCAAGCTCTACCCGACGGGCAAGAACGCGACGCGCGGGCGCTTCAACGCCTACTTTGCGCGGAATCTGACGGACGCGGACCTCGGCGCGGTCGTCACCGCGCGCGTCGCGCGCGAGAACCCGACCTGCGCGGAGACGTCCTACGTCTTCGGCGACGGCATGCTCGAGCGCATCTACCCGGGCTTCTGGGGCGCCGAGCTCGAGGCCACGGTTACCTAGTAGTCTCCCGCGGGGTGGTGGTGCGCGCGCCGCCGCGCGAGCGTCCTCCGCGTCGCGAGCCACGGCTCGCCGTCCGGGTAGCCGCGCATGGGGCGGTCGCGCAGGTCCCGCCGCACGGCCCGGAACGCGCAGGCGGACCCGAAGTCCGGGTCGCCGTGCTCCCGCTCCCGGCCGTCCGCCGCGCAGATCGTTTCGTTGACGAGCATGTCCGTGCGGAACCGCATGCCCCGGCTGAACGCCTCGGAGACGCCGTTCTTCCGCCCGAAGGAGAAGGAGACGACCGTGCGCCGGTCCCGCGCCAGGTCCCGCGCGTGGTCCGCGTAGGCCTCCCGCGCGCCCCGGTGGATGAGCCGCGAGTCGAAGACGACGGCGTCGCCGGGCCGGCTCCGGATCTGGTCGTAGGGCGTCTCGGACTCGGGCCGGTGGTCCGCGTGGTAGGGGTCGAGCCGCGCGAGCACCTCGGCGTGGCGCGTCGCGTTGTCGTGCGTGTAGGGCGCGATGCTCAGGCCGCCGTCGTCGAACGCGTGGTCCTCGAGGTAGAGGGCTACCGTCGTGACGCGCCGGGTCTCGCCGCGGTCGTCGGCCCAGAAGGTCGTGCCCTTGCCGAAGCCGAACTCGCGGCCCGCGGCGCAGATGGCCGCGTCCGTCGTCGGCGGCGCCCGGTCCCGGACGTTCGGCTTGGCCATCGGCGGGAGCCGCGCGGCGCCGGACGCGGGGCACCACGTGTCGTCGACGAAGCTCAGGCCGGTGGCGTACAAATCGAAGGCGCCGTAGAGGTCGTCGGCGTGCCAGTTGCCGACGCGGCTCACGTAGATCTCGCTCCGCTCCAGCAGGTAGAAGTCGTCGCCGAGGATCGCGGTCAACAGCTTCGCGAGGCGCTCGTCGCGCGCGATCTCGTGCTCGAACTCGAGCAGGCCGGGCAGGCGCTCGATGCCCGGGATGAACCAGCCGCCGAGCTTCTTCCCGTTCATCATGTACTTGTGCGTCTCGCCCGTGCGTTTCAGGTGGTCCAGGACGCGGTTGCTCATCTCGGCGACGCGCTCGGCGCGTATGACGTTCGGCAAGACGAAGTAGCCCCGGCTCTCGTAGAGGTCCAGCCAGCTCGTCGCGGTCGTCGACGCGACGACGAGCGCGAGCCGCACAATGGCCGGGCAGCCTCGACGCCGGTCGACGGCCCGCATCGTGGCTTGCCACCAGTTGACCGCCAAAGGTGCACATTCAAGTGTTCACGTTGAAGTGTTCACGATGGGGCTGCTGCGACGTCTCGTGCTGCTCCTCGCCGCGCTGCGCGCGGCCGCGCTGACCGTGCTCATCACGGGCGGCAACGGCGGCATCGGCACGGAGCTGGCCGTCGAATTCGCCAAGGCCGGCCATAGCGTCATCTCGGCCTGCCGCGGCCGGTCGGCCCACGTCCACGAGCGCCTCGTCGAGGAGCAGCTCGAGGCGCGCGTGCGCATCATCCTCGGCCTCGACGTGTTGGATGACGCCAAGACCGACGCCTTTTTCGACGCGCTGCAGGCCGAGGGCGTCGTGCTCGACGTGCTCGTGAACGCGGCCGGCGCGCGTCTCGGCCGCGTCCGCGACGACGAAACGAGCGATGAGCATCAAAAACGTAGGTCGCGACGTGGCAGCTGGCCGTCGACACGTACCCGGGCACGACCGAGCCCATGCAGCTCGGCGGCCTGGACCTGAAGCTGCTGGGGAAGGTCTTCGCGGCGAACGCCGTGGGCCCCGTGCGCGTCACCGAGGCCGTGCTCAAGCGGCGCCTCCTGCGGTCGCCCGGCGGGAAGATCGCCCACGTGTCGTCGAAGCTCGGCAGCATCGCGAGCAACACGGCGACGGGCCAGAACTACGCGTACCGCATGAGCAAGTCCGCGCTCAACGCCGCGGGCAAGTCCATGGCCGTGGACCTCCGGCCCCAGGGCATCGCCGTCGCGCTGCTCCATCCGGGCTACGTCGCGACGCCCATGACCGGCGACCGCGGCGACCTCACGGCCGCCGCGAGCGCCGCGGGCTTGTACAGGCGCATCGTCGACGACCTGGACCTGGCGAAGAGCGGCACCTTCTTCGACACCGACGGGTCGGCGCTCCCCTGGTAACAGTTCACCCTAGCCGCGCTTAAAGTCGGCCTTGCCGCCGGACTTCTCCAGGAGCCGCAGGTTCGTGATCTCGATGTCGTGGCTCAGCGCCTTGCACATGTCGTAGACCGCGAGCGCGGCCACCGAGCACCCGGTGAGCGCCTCCATCTCGACGCCCGTCCGGTGCGACGTCGCGACGCTGCACGTGATGTCCAGGGCCCTCGCGGCGTCGTCGGCCTCGAAGGCGACGTCGCAGCCGTCGAGCGCGACGCTGTGGCAGAACGGCACGAGCTCGTGCGTCCGCTTCGCGCCCTGGACGCCGGCGATGACCGCCGTCGTCAGGACCGGGCCCTTCTTCGACGCGAAGCCCGACGACGACAGCTCGTCCCAGGCCCCCGCGGGCAGGACGACGCGGCAGGACGCCACGGCGCGCCGCGCCGTGACGGCCTTGCCGCCGACGTCGACCATGCGCGGCCGGGCGGTCGACGCGTCGACGTGGCTGAGCGACGCGAGGCGGCGGATTGTGCCGCGCATGCTTGGGTGCTTGCACGGGTAGCTGTCGCGTGTGCGACGACGACGAGAGCTGCGGCGCGCGTGCGACGACGACGAGGCTCGAGACAGTCGAGGCAGGGTGAAACATTGGTGAACGTGCCGCCTTGTTGACGTAGTTGCATCGCGCAGCTGCGGCCAGCAACCCAGTATGGGATTGCAAGGCTGCCCAGCCCTGCTGCTCTGGGCGCTGCTCCGGGTAACGCTCGGCGACGACGTCCCGTCACCGGCGCCAAACCTTGCACCGAGCCTCGCGCCGGCGCCAAACCTTGCACCGAGCCTCGCGCCGACGGGCACCTGCGGCGACACCTGCCTCGGTGCGACCTGCGATTTTTGGGTCGAGCGCTACGGTTTGGACTGCGACATCCTCGAGGACGACAATTACTACGCCTGCGACTGCAGCGCCTGCGCCTGCGCGGCGGCGGTGACGACGAACGCGACCTGCGACGGCGGCGGCGGCGGGGCCGCCGCGGTCGCGTCCGGGGCGGCGTGGGCGGCCGCGTTCGCGGCGTACGAGGGCGCCGCGTGCGCGGACCTCGCCGTGGACCTCGGGTCGTCGTCGTTCGCCGCCGCCGCCGAGGTCGTCGTGCCGGCGTCGGGCGCCGCGACCGTCCGCGACGGCGCCGTGCGCGCGGCCGGCCGCCATCGGCTCGTCGCCGTGGAGAGCTACGGCGCGCTCGACCTCGAGAACGTCGCGCTGCGCGGCGGCCGCGACGACGCCCTCGGCGGCGGCTGCGTCTTCCTGGGCAGCTACGCGTCCCTCACGCTCACGAACAGCGCGCTCGCCAACTGCTCGACGACGGGGAACCCATTTCTAGTCGCTCTCGTGGCGGCAGGGGCCCGCTTCGAAACTGGCGAGAAAGCCGCTCTCCTCGGTGCTCTCAGAGCTGTCTGCCCTTTGGCAGAGGCGGCGAAGCAAGAAGCCAATTATGCCAAACGGTTTCCCAGGCGGGCGGGAAAGGCAATACATCGTTTTTCATCGACAGAAACCAAGCGGCGGCGAGCGACGGTCAAGGCTCAGTATGCGTCTGCGATCGCCTTCGTCGAGTCCGTCCCCGACACGTAGTGAATTAGGGGCCTGCTAAGAACGAAGTCAGGGCAGGATGCGGACGTCGCCGGAGTTGGCCAACAGGGACCTCAGCTCGGCCTTCTCGCTGCAGCCGCGGAGCTCGTCCGCGAGGCCGACGAGCTCGAGCGCGTCCTTCAAGCGGCGCACGGAGAGGTCGCCGAGCTCCTGGCGCGTGAAGACGAGGAGCGGCGCGGGCCCGTCGTCGGGCGGCAGGGACCGCGGCGGCCGCGGCGGGCTGCCCGCGGCGTCGTCCTCGCGGTAGCAGTAGCCCTCGGCCGCGGGCGGCGGCACGAACTCGAGGCTCCGGGGCGCGCCCTTGGCGTCGTGCGCCTCGGCCCCCGGCCGCCGGGGCCGCTTCTCCGCCGCCGCGCGGTCGTCGGCGGCGGGCGACGACGACGCGCTCGACGACCGCTTGAGCTCCGGCGACTCGCAGCCCTTGGCCGGGAGGTCGTCCACGTCCATGGCCTTGGATTCAGCCCCCCGCTCGGAGAAGGCCACGCGCCCCGACGCCACCAAGTGGTCCACGAGCTCCGCCTTCTCGACGCACTTCGTCGAGTCGACGCCGATCTCGGCCATGAGCCGCTTGAGCTGCTTGATCGACCACGTCGCGCGCATGCCCGCCTCGTCGACGTCCAGCGCCTTCGGCGGCGCCTCCTTGACGAGCTGGACGACTCCAGTCTCCACGAGGCGCATGATGAGGTCCCGCTTCTCCGTCACGTCGCGGAACGCCTTGCCCCGCGCCGCCGCGAGCGCCCGCAGCTCCCGCACCCCCAGCCGCTCGAGCTCGCGCATGCGGTAGCGCGGCACGCGCGCCGCCATGCGGCAGCGCCGCCCGCTCTCGAAGCGCGCGTCGCTCGACTCGAGCTCGTAGCGGCAGTTCGGGCACGTGCCGTGGCGCCGGAGCCACGACACGACGCAGTCGGAATGGTACAAATGGCCGCAGGGCAGCTTCGTCGCGACGTCGCCGACGCGCTGCGGGTCCAGGCACACGCAGCACTCGTCGTTGCCGTCCTGGATCAGGTCCTCCTCCGTGATCTTCACGAGCGGCAGCTCGCCGAGCGCGCGCTCGGCTATCGGAGGCGCGCCGCGATGCTCGTCGACGGCCGCGGCCGCGCTGTTCGCCGGGTGGCTCGACGCCTGCTGCTGCGGCGGCGCCGCCGCCGGCTCGAAGGGGCCGCCGCCGCCGCCGCCGAAGAGGCCGCCGCCCCCGCCGCCGTTCGCCATGGCCTCCCGGAAGGCGGCCTCGTACCTACGGAATTGGGGTGGTGGCGGCGCGGCGTGCCATGAGTGTGACGCCGGGCCGGACGCGCTGCGCGCGAAGTCCGACGGCGGGGCCTGCGGCTGCTGGTTCCCCCAGCCCCACATCGCTTCGGCGCGCCGAGACTCGGTCGAGGACGACGGACAGTGGCGCAACACTCGTCGAGCGCTCGCGGCAAACTCGTTTCCGACTTGTTGAACTGCAATCGGGGCTGCGATCGTCATGGGCAGCGATTGACAAGCTCCAGTGTGAATGGTCGTCTCCCTGTCGAAGGATGCGACCCTCGCGACCATCTTCGCCTTCGTTGTCTTCGCGACGCCGTTCACGCTCATGCGCGCCGCGGACTTCGAGGGCAGCGCGACCCACGGCGTGGCCCAGCGCTGGTCGCTCGCGTCCTGCTGCGTCCACTGGGTCGCGCTCGTCGTCTTCCTGCTCTACGTCGCGTGGACGCCCGCGGACGCGAGCAACCGCGCCTGCTACGTGCAGGAGACCATCTTGGTGTCGCTCTGGGCGACGTCGACGTGGAGCTTGTACATTTTCCAGTACTACAAGCAGCGCGTCGTGACCATGGCGCTGCCGGGCGCGAGGGAACCGCTGCTCTCGCGCGTCTTCAAGGTCCTGGCCTTCGCCTACGCGCCCGTACTGATCGTCGGCATGCCGTTCTGGGTCTCGGAGGAGCTCTCGGACGTCGCGGACGCGCGGCACGCGCGGCACGGCATGTGCCCCTGGGTCATGCGGCGGCGGTGGCGGCCGATCATCATGGCCCACTTCGCCGCGGACAGCGGCCTGTCGATCGTCAGCCTCTTCCTGTTCCTGCGGCCCATCCTCGTGAGCGCGCGCAACACGAAATCGACGACGCAGCTCGACATGGCGTCCATCGCCCGCCGGAACGCGGCCGCGAGCCTCGTCGCCATGGTCTCGACGCTGCTGCAGACCACGGCGCAGTTCGCCTGGAAGGTCGGCGAGCGGTCGCCGTTCCTCTTCTGGCTCGTCATCTCGCAGGACCTCGCCTTCAACATCGTCTCCATCTGCCTGAGCTACGCCCTACCGGAGGCGCTCGTGAACCTCATCCGCCTGTCGAGGACGGAGAAGTACCTCCGCCGCTGGCGGGAGTCGATCCGCGCCTTCGGCCACGCGCCGAGCCCGCGAACGCCGGAGGCGCGGACGCCGCGGCAGTTGAGGATGCCCAGCCGGCCGACGGCCCCCGGTCTCGCCATGGTCTAACATATCCCGCCGGCGGGATATGTTAAGCACCGCGTCACGTTAGGCCTGTACGGAGTAGAGCGGCTCCGCGAAGCCCGGCGGCCGCTTCTGGAGTATCGTGAGCGCGTTCTGGAAGCGCTTGTGGGGTTCGAGCAGCGAGACGTGCGTGACGTGGTCCGGGTCGATGCCCGTCGCCTCCTTGGGCTCGCGGCGCCGCACGGCGTCGAGCCAGAGCCGCGTGTTCTCGTTCGTGATCGTCGAGTGGCAGACGAGGTAGCCGCCCGGCTCGATGGCGGGCCAGATCTTCGCGACGTACTCCGCGACGCGCGTGCCCACGCCGAAGTCGAGCCAGAAGAGGTCGAAGGACCCGCCCTCGTACAGATCGTCCATGAGCCACGCGTCGCCCTTGGCGAAGGAAAAATACTCCGCGAGCCCGAGCTCGCCGGCGATGGTCGGAATCGACGACGCGGCCTCGGACTGGTGCGCGCAGTCGTCGATGCAGACGAGCCGCGCGGGGACCGCGTCGTGGCCTTCGACGTAGTCGCCCACGGTCCAGGGCCAGCGGAGCAGCTCCGCCTCGCCGCCGCGCTGCAGCTCGCGTATCCTCGCGAGCTCCGAGTCGTTGTCCGCCAGCGCCTTCAGCAGCCAGAGGGACGTGTAGCCCGCGCCGACCTCGAGGACGCGCCGCGGCTTCACGAAGCGCGCGAGGTCGTAGAGCAGCGGCGCGGCGTTCTCGACGCCCATGTGCACACTATAGGCCCGCCGCGCCGCGTCGAGGAATGTTCGGTCCACGTAGGCCCGCGGCGCGAAGGCTTCGGTGACCGCCGCGACGTGGGGGTCGACGGGGTCGACGGGCGTCGCCTCGCCGTGGAAGAGCGCGTCCGTGCGGATCACGTACTTGGCGCCGCCGCGCGCCGCCGAGCCCTCGTGGAAGGGCCAGGCCTTGCGCGCCTCGGCCATCGCCTCGTCGCCGACGGCCTGGGGGAACAGGAGGGCCGACCCGGCGACGGGCGCCACGGACGCGACGAGGTCCTCGAGCTTCGCGCCGGCGTAGAACTTCGTCTCGCCGCCCTCGAAGTCGTCGCTGAGGTAGAGCAGCACGGTGTAGCGGCTCGCGTAGGCGCCGTCGTAGGCGTCGTAGGCGCAGGCGTCGTCGACCCAGCCGCCGCCGGGGAAGCCCGCGTCCACGTGCGGCCGGAACGTCTCGACGCCGTCGCCCGCGTAGCGGTAGAACCGCAGCCGCGCGTTCACCTTGTCCGCGAAGCGGAACCCGTCGCGAGCGCGCGGCACGTGGGGGGCGATCCGCGCCGACAGCTCGTCGATGAACGCGCCGTCGGGCCGGCAGGCGACCTGGAGCGCCGCGTGGTGATTCTTGCCGGCGTCGAACGTCGCGAAGCAGCCGGAGCCCTCCGCCGCGGCGACGAGCCGCGCGCACTCGTCGCGCGCTAAAACGTCGCGGACGACGAAGGCGCCGTCGACGCCGTCGACGGCTTCGACGGCCCTGTTCAGCGACCGGCCGCCGTAGCGCAGGTCGGCCCAGGTGTCCTCGACGCCGATGGTCGGCACGCCGCTCGACTCCATCTCGCTCTGAGCCGCGCGGCCGCCGGGGTGCTCGAGGATCTTGAAGGTCGGCGCGAGGCTTAACGCGGCGGCGCATCGGACGCATGCGAGCGCGGCGCAGAGGCGCGGGCTCGACGTCATCGTCCACTGTAACTCAGCAGCGAAATGGTCGCGGCTTCACGACTGAGCCCGCCATCATCGTGTGTGTTCGACTGCACTAGCAAGTGGGTTCAGCCAAATGTTCAACCAGCACTTTTCATTGGGGATTCATTGGGGCAGCTTGTTCGCGGGCGCGGCCCATCGCGCCGTCCAGACCTCGGAATCCGGCCGTCCATCGCATCGCGCAGCTTGTTCGCAGGCGCCGCCCATCGCGCCGTCCAGACCTCGGAATCCGGCGCCGTCCATCGCCCGCTCGGAATACGATGGCGCTCCGGATCCTCGCCCTGGCCGCGGCGGCCGCCGCGGACTGGGCTGCGCCCAAGCAGTACTCGGTGTCGGTCCTCCTGGAGCTGCCCTACATCGATCTCGTGGAGCCCATCGAAGTCTACTATGACGAGGCTCAGGAGCTCCAGCGCATGGACTACTGGCACGGCGCCGACACCTACGTCTTCAACGCCACGGCGGGCGAGAACTCGACGTCGCACCAGATCGTGCCCACGTCCAAGGACGGCGCGACGTCCGCGGCGACGTGCTTCTCGATGACCGGGGAGGCGCCGCTGGCCTCCGTGTTTCCCAGCCTCGCCAAGTTCACGAAGGCCGACGGCACGAAGCAGATCCGCGGCGTTGAGGTCGACGCCTTCGAGCTCGTCCAGCCGGAGTTCGACCCGGCGAGCGGCATGATCGGTGCGTCTCCCTTCGCGTTTCGTTCCGGCGACGCGTCTCCTCAGGCAACTATTCCTTTTACGTGCGCCACGACGACGGCGCGACGCCGGTGAGCTTCGAGTTCCTGGGCCACAACACGATCACGGGCGGCCACGTCGACGAGTGGGCCTTCGTCTACTCGGCCTACGCGCCGGGCCCCCAGAAGGCGGAGCTCTTCACGGCCCCGTGGGCGAAGATGACCTGCGCGGAGCTCGAGACCGACGACGACGACGGCCCGACGGTCGCCGACGACCACTTCCTGGGCACGACGCCCCTCGACGACCTCGCGCTGCTCCACGCCGACGGCGGCGACGGCCGAAACGACGCGTTCAGAAGCTACGCCGACAAGTACGGCAAGACCCGCGGCGCCGACCGGTTCTCGCTCTTCCACCGCGCGCGCCGCTACGTCAACGCCGTGAACCGCAAGCACCTGAGCTACACCCTGGAGACGAACCACCTCGCGGACTGGACCGCGGAGGAGAAGCGGGCGCTCCGGGGCCGGAAGCACACGCCCGCGGGCTTCTCGACGAAGGCGACGCGGTCCCACGAAGCCGCCGACGTCGGCGATCTCGGAGAAATCGACTGGCGGAACGAGGGCGCCGTGACGAAGGTCAAGGACCAGGGCTCGTGCGGGTCCTGCTGGTCCTACGGGACGACGGGCGCCATCGAGGGCCAGCACTTCCTCAAACACGGCGCGCTCGTCGAGCTCAGTCAGCAGAATCTGATGGACTGCTCATGGCCCCAGGGGAACAACGCCTGCGACGGCGGCCTGGACTCGAACGCCTACGACTGGATGCTCGAGGTCAACGGCGGCAAGGTCGCGGCCGCGGAGCCGTACGGCGGCTACAAGAACGCGGACGGCGCCTGCCACGCCGCCGACGGCTTCCACGCGAAGATCACGGGTTACGTGAACGTCACGGGCCTGCCGGCGTTTAACGACGCGCTCGCGAACGTCGGGCCGCTCTCCATCAGCATCGACGCGACGCCCGAGGACTTCTATTATTACAAGAGTGGCTTCTACTACAGCGACGACTGCAAGGGGGGCGTCGACGACCTCGACCACACGGTGCTGGCCGTCGGCGTCAAGGTCCACGGCGACCAGCGCTACACGATCGTGAAGAATTCCTGGAGCACGCACTGGGGCGACGCGGGCTACGTCTACATCTCCCAGAAGAACAACTGCTGCGGCGTCGCGACGGCCGCGACCTACCCCACCATCGCGTGAAGAAGGAGGCCCGTCCCGCCCCCGGCCCGGCGCGGCCGCTTAGAGCGGCTCCGTTCTTAAGGCAGGCCGGCGATGCCGTCGTCGTCGCTGTCCGGCTCGGGCTGCTTCCGCGGCCGCGGCGCCGGCCGCGTGCCCGGCGCGGCCCGGCGCTGGGCCTCCTTGAGGGCGGCGATCTTGTTCGCCGTGGCATGCGGGCGGTCGCCGCCGTAGCGCGCGTCCATGGCCTTCATCCAGTCGTCCTGCTCCGTCTTCTCGCGCGCGGCGGCCGCCTCCTTGCGCCGCCGCGTCTCGGCCTCGCGCGCGTCGTTGCGCGCGACCTTGGCCCGCGCGGCGTCCGGGTGCTCCTCGGCGTCGCAGCGCGAGCAGGCGCAGAGCACGCCGTAGCGCGCGAGGAGCGCCGCGCGGCGGTCCGCGCGCGGCGCGGCGAGGTCGACGCCTTCGTAGGCGCGCGTCACGAATTCGCCGACGCCCAGGGGCCGCGTCGCGTGCCAGCGCTGCTCCGCCGAGCGGCCCGCGGAAGCCCGCGCCGTCGAGCACGCCTCCAGGTTCGCGTAGGACGCCGCCACGGACGGCGCGCACGAGTGCTCGAGGAGCGCGAAGTGCGGGTAGGCCCCGTAGGCCGCGAGCTCCCCGTCGTCGTCGTAGATGGGGAAGTGGGCGCAGCGGCCCACGACCAACAAGTCCACGATCTCCTCGCGGCGCGCCTGGGTCCACTGCTTCGTCGCCGCGAGGACGCGCGACTCCGAGAGCGCGGACGCCAACCGCCGGGCCCGGTCCGCGGGCCCGTCGCCGACGACCTCGTGCGTCGCCGCGACGCCGCGCACGTCGACGCGGATGGACCGCTGCTCGCCCTCGTCCTCCGCGTCCCGCAGGTTCAACTTGCGGAAGACGCGCGACGCGAGCGCGCAGTCGACGAATTCTTCCTCGTCGCCGTCGAGCATGTCCAGGAGCTTCGGCAGGGTCTCGCACTCCTCGCGGTGGACGCGCCAGGCCGCCTTCTGGCAGGCCACGGTGCAGTAGCAGGCGCGCTTGCAGCGGCTGCAGCGCTTCGCGGACGCGAACGGCGCGAGGCAGTGCGCGCATCGCGACGTCTCCGCCGCGGGCGGCACGAAGGTCGCGAAGGGCTCCGTGCCCATGAGGAGCGCGCCCCGCTTCACGTCGAAGCCGCAGACGACGCGGTTCGTCGCCTCGGCGAGGTCCTCCTCGCGCTGCTTCGCCGTCTTCTGCCAGTTCGGGCCCTCCCAGGGCGTCTCCCGCTTGAGGCCGAAGCGCCAGAGCACGCGCGCCTGGCGCCCAAAGTAGGCCGACGCCTCCGCGTCGGGCATGGCCTTGCGGATCGCGCGCCGCTCCGCGAGGAACGCCTCGATGGCCTCCGTGTCCTCCTGCGCATCGTCCAGCCCCATCGTGTCGAAAGGCGACTGGGTGGCTGCTCTCTCATCAGTCGTCGGGGAAACATGGGCTGCTCAAAAATCTTTCGCAGCTTTGTTGAACGCAATTACAATCGAGAGCATGGACGACGTTCCGTCGACGGCTCCGGTGGCAACAGCGACCAATCACGCTGCCCGCCAGCGGCGCAAGTCGCTCAAGCAGGAGGCGAAAGCGCTGCGCCGCGCGAGCCAGCTCTTTCGCAAAGCCGAGGCCACCATGGCCAGCGTCGAGGCCGCGGCAGCCTCCAGCGGCGCCGCCGCGCGGTCGCCCGCCACCTGCGCGCGCGCGGAGCGCAAGAGGACGAAGAAGCCGAGCCGCTGGCAGCAGCCGCACGGGGACGACGACGACGCGCTCGACCGGGGCCTGGACCGGCTCCGGACGCGCGCGGCCGCCGACAGGGCGCACGTGCCGCCGGCGGAGCGCGTACGGCGCAAATCCATGCCCGGCGCCGCGGCCGCGGACGGAGCGGCCGCGCCGGCCGGCATCGACGAGGCGGCCGCGCTGCGCTCCGTCTGCGATCGCGTCGCCCGCCTGCCCAAGGGCGTCCCTCCGAGCCGCGCGGACGTCGTCGCGATGCGATTCCTCTGCGAGGCGCTCGACGACGCCGCGGCCGCGGCGCGGGGGCCCGCGGAGCGGCCGCTGTCGCCGGCCGTCGAGAGGACGCCGGTCGCCTTCGCGGCGCGACCGCCGGTCGTCGCGTTCCGACCGCCGTCGCCGGTCGTGAGCTTCGAGGAGTCGTCGCCGCCGGCCGAGCGGCCGGCGCGGCCGAAGCGCTACTCCGTCGTCGCGTCGCGGCGGCCGGCGCCGCGGAGGCACCGCGAGTCCATCGCCGTCGCGCGCCTGAGCGACCTCGCCGGGGAGCCCGCGCGCGCGGCGCCGCTCGTCGCCGTCGCCGTCTACGGCCCGGCCTGCGCCGACGGCGTCCGCGTCGGCGAGCGCGTCGCCGGCGCCGCGGGCTACGCCGTCCGGCCCGTGGCCCTCGCGGAGGTCGCGACGGGCGCGGAGCTGCCGCCCTGGCCGGCGTTGCCGTCCTTCGCCTGCCCGGACGGCGTCGCGCTCGAGGTCCTCGGCGCCGCGGCCGCCGCGGACCGCGTCCGACGACCGGGGACGTCCCACGTGGCGGTGCTCGGCGGCGACCCGCACCGCTATCTGACGGTCGTCGTCGCCCCCTGCTGCGTCCGCCTCGCGCGGCCGGGCGTCCTCGCGCGCCACATCCAGCTCGCGGCGTCCCGCGCCGGAACGGCCGCCGCGGCGCCGACGACGCCGTTCTCGCGCGCGGCGCCGCCGCCGCGGGCCCCCGCGGCGTCGTTCGAGCCGCTCGAGGGCGACGACGACCGCGCGCTGGACGCGGCCTTCTCGGAGCGCGGCCTCGCCGTCGTCGGTTCGCGCGCCTACGCCGCGCTGTCCGACGTCGAGAACTGCGGCGCCGCGCTCAAATTCCTCGCCGGCCTCGCGGCCCGCGACCGCGCCGCGGACGCGGCCTTCCTGGCGTCCGCGCACGACGTCGACGACGTGCCCCGGTCGCTGGACGAGTTCCGGTCGCGGGACCGGTCCTTCGACGACCCGGCCTTCGGCGACCGCGTCCGCGACGCCGCGGCCGCGGTCGACGCGGCCGCGCCGCGGCCGCTCCGGGGCTGGGCCGTCGCGGCGACGCTGGCCCGGGTGCGACCGGCGCACGTCTTCGGCGCCGTCGTCAGCCTGCTGCGGGAGCGCAGCGTCTGCGTCGTCGCGGCCGACTCGGCGACGGCCGCGGCCGTGGCCTTTGGGCTCGCGAATCTCCTGGCGCCCCTCGCGTGGCAGGGCGCGCTGATCACGACGCTCCCCGGCGACGAGGTCGACCTGCTCGGCTCGCCCGTGCCCTTCATCGCGGGCATGACGGCGGCGACGGCGCGCCGCGCCGAAGTCGCGTACGCGGCCGCGGGCGACGAGGCCACGCTCCGCGAGCTCTCCGTGCTCGACGTCGAGGCGGGCGCCTACGTCCGCGGCGCCGGCGACGAGCGCCTCGCGCCGCCGCGGGCCCTCGTCGAGGCGCTCGCCGGCTCCTTCGCGCCCGACGCGGACGTCGTGGCCATGCTCGGCGACGATCCGGGGGACCGCGCGGCGCCGATCCGGGCCTACGTGGCGTCGCTGCTCGAGGACCTGCGCACGGACTGGAAGACGTACGGCGAGGAGAATTTGGAGACCGGCGACTTCGAGTTCGTGCCCGAGTTCTTCCTGGAGCCCGTCGAGGCGCGGCTCGCGCTCCAGCGCGCGATGGCCCACACGCAGATGGTCATCGGCCACGTCGACGCGCTCCGCGAGGCGGCGCGGAAATAAAGGCATGTACAGGGCCGGTTAGCGCGCGTGTGCGGCCTATCGCCGCGCGTCGTGGGGGAACTCGTCCGCGGGCGAGCGGAAGGAGCGGAGGGGCGACGTCTGGAGGAGGTTGGACGCGCGGGACGTGTAGATGCAGGAGTAGTCGATGACCTGCTTCGCGAAGCGCGACGCCTGGTTGCCCGTGCGGAACATGGGCCCCCAGACGGGGTGGTACTCGGCGTGGTGCGCCTCGCGCGCGCGCCGGAGCGACGTCCGCGCGTCCGACTGGGCCTCCTCGAGCGCGTCCTTCTCCGCCGAGTCGAGGAAGTGCGTGCCGTCGCGGATCTGCGCGAGGCGCAGCGTCTGCACCGCGAGCTCCGCGGCCTCGCACGCCGTCTCCTCGGCGGCGACGCGGCTCCGCGCCGCCGAGTCGAGCGCGTCCACGGACAGCTCGTGCTCGAGCTCGGGCACGATCAGCGCCGTGCGCCATCCGAGCGACCGCTTCGACCGCACGATGTCGCCGTACATGTGGTCGCCGACGTAGAGCACCTGCGACCCGGAGTCGATGCCGAGCATCTCGTGGAGCGCGCGCCACGTGCCCGACTGGAAGACCTTGCCCTCGCGCGCGAGGAACGCGTCGCCGCCGATCTCGTCGACGGGCTTGCCCACAAAGTTGTGGAGCGTGCCCATGTTCGACGTCGTGTCCACCCGGAGCATGTCGCGGCGGCCGTCGCCGAGGAACGCCGGCTTCCCGCCGCCGACGACGATGACGTCGAACAGGTCCATCCAGCCCCGGTCGTCGACCGTCTTTCCCAGCAGGAAGTTCATGACGACGTTCGTGTAGTCGAAGAGCGAGTTCGTCAAAAGGAAGACCTTCTTGCCCGCGAGGCGGTACTGGTTCAGCATGGGCACCAGGGAATCGTCGCGCAGGATGTAGCGCCCCGGGTCCTCGGCGACCTCGTCCTTGATGACGCCGTCGTGGTGGCACATGTCGACCGCGTGGCGCACGTCTTTGAACGCCTGATAATAGGACACCGCCCGGAACTCGTCCCCGTCCATGACGTCGACGAGCTGCGCGTACAGCGACGCGTCCACGAGCTGGAACAGCGAATCCACGTTCACGAAGTCGTCGCCCACGAACGTGGGCGTCGCGTCGGCGACGCCGACGTACAACTTCTTCCGCTCGTCCGGCGAGAGCTCGCGCGTCCCGTGGAAGGCCACGCGCACGTACTTGTGCCGGTCCATCTTCAGGATGTTCCCATGCCGCTTGTCGATGACGAGCCCCCGCAGGTGCTGCTCCGGGTCGAAGGTGAAGCCGGCCACGGCCTCCTCGGGGTAGCCCATCTCGACCAGTTTCCGCTTCGCGCCCTCGAACGCGAGCATGTCGAAGTTGACGTTGTACTGGGCGAGCGTGTAGTCCATGTCGAAGCCCACGGCCTCGATGGCGCCCATGTTCAGCTCGCGGTTGCAGAAGACGCGCTGCGTGAAGTCGAACTCCGGCGTGCCGCTCAAATCGACCTCCGCCGTCATTTCCGCGACCATGGCGACGGGCGGCGCGGCCCGGCGCGGGGTGGCGGCGACCGGGGCCTTGGGCGCGAAGGCGCCGCAGCGCGTGGCCAAGGTGAAGAGGCAGAGGGCCGCGGCCATCGTGTCGAATCTACTGTCTAGCATACTCAACTCTTCAGGAGGCGGCTGGATGACATCACGCGCGGCGAGGCGCGTGCTCGACGCCGTACGTGCCGTCCGCCACTCTGCACGTCCGACGACGACGACGACGCATAGGTTTAGACATCCGGGCCCGCCCGCTACCACGTCGCGGACAAAATCCCGGCGCCGCTTACGCCGCCGCGCGCGCGCGCGGCTCAGTTCTCGACCGTGTCGGGCCCGCCCTGGAGCAGCATGTCGATGAGGCGGAGGACCTGCTTCTTGGAGAAGTACTTCTCGAAGTCGAGGAACTCGCGGTGCTTGTCGAGGAGGTTGTCGAGGACGGCGAGCGCGCACATGTCGTCGTCGATCTCCGCGACGACGGCGGCGAGCTCCTCGACCTCGGGGAAGGGGATGTCCTTGCGCAGCACGGTCTCCGCCGCGTCCTTGAACTCGAGGGCCAGGAGCGGCGGGTCGTAGCGGATGCCGACGCGGTGCGGCGTCCACGACGGCTCGGGGAGCTCCGCGTCCTTGAGGAGCGCGACCTCGTGGGCCTCGCGGAGCGCGTTGGCCTGCTCCACGTTCTTCTGGGCCGCCTCCTGGTTCGTGTCGAAGGAGTAGGACTGCATGCCCGCGCCCGGCAGCGACGGCCCGCCGCCGCCCGCGCCGTCGCCCTCCGTCGACGGCAGCGCGCACGAGTTGGGCTCCGTCATGACGCAGACCTGGGACGCGTCGCCCAGGGGCCACCAGGCCTCCATGGGCTCCTTGGACACCGTGAAGTTCTTGCCCGTCTTCTGCTCGTCGTTGAAGTCGAAGATGCCCCACCAGAAGTTGATCGCCGGGTTCAGGTTCGCGGCCGCCATGCACTTCTCCTGGCCCGCGAAGCCGCCGGAGAAGGGCGTGAAGGCGATGCCGCTCGACAGCTCGATGACGGGCTCCGTCTGGGAGTAGAGGCTGAACTTGCAGTTCGTGCAGTCGCGGAGCCGGAGCTGCTTGCACGCGACGTAGAAGGTGCAGTCGGCGCACTCGCGGATGAAGACGGACTCACCGGACGCGCCGATCATGATCTTGCACCTAGGGGCGGCGCGGCGCGGTCGGCGCGGCGCGGGAGAGCGGGCGCCGCGGGGCTCGCTCGCGGCACGCGTCCACTTGCACCATGTCCGTCGCGTCGCAGACCGCGGCCTCGCAGCCCACCAAATCGCGGATGTCGAAGGCCTGGCCGTCGACGTCGCCGGGCTTCTTCGGCGCGAAGGTGTGGTTCTCTTTCTCGTAGAACGTGTACTGCGTCAGCATCTCGTGCTTGCGCCACTCCTTCTTCGTGTGGAAGACGGTGCCATCCGTGCCTACGCTTCTTTTCTTCTGAGCTGGGGACTGGTAGGCGCGTCGACGGGACGCGGCGGCGGCGCAGGTGTAGGTCTTGCCGCTCATGGTCGCGCCGAAGCCAATGGAGGCTGCCCCGTTTGAACGGTCGATGCTGGGTGCACCACGGCGGCATCTCCAACCTCTCGACTCCCGGAGCTTCTAGCGCGCGGGGGGGGGGCAGCCATGGTCGCGACGTCCGTGCCCGTGCGCAAGTCGCTCACGTGGACCGTGGACGACGGGCGGGGCCGCGACGCCTTCCGGGGCAACATGTCGACGAGCGTGGCGCCGAACGGGCGCTGCCACTTCGACCCGAAGCTCATGCCCATGCCGACGCCCGGCCCGACGTCGACGACGGACGACATCCAGCCGGCGCGCAAGGTGCCGGGCCTCGCCTTCGGGCGGGCGACGGAGCCGCGGTCCAAGTCGCCGGACCCGCGGGCGCCGCGGCCGAAGGGGCGGCCGGCGCGCCGCGCGCCGCGGCCGCTCGCGCGGAGCGAGACGTACGAGCTCTTCGGCACGACCTACGACCAGGACGCGCTGCCCGTCGCCGAGACCTTCCACCCGCCGGCGTCGCCCCTCAAGTCCCTGATCGCCTACGAGGCGCGCGCGGCGCCCGTCGCGCCGTCCGCGGGCACGAAATTCCTCACGGCCGAGCGGAAGACGATGCTCTTCGTGAAGCCGCCCAAGGTCGTTTCCCCGGGCCCCGTCTACGACCTGCGGACGAGGCTCGGCCGCGACGTGCGCCTGATCAAGCCCGCGGCCTTCGTGAAGGAGCGCAAGTTCGAGCAGGCGCGCTTCGAGGGCACGTACCGGCCGCCGTCGTTCACGCCGGGGCCGCTGACCCACGAGCCCTACGAGCCGCCCATGAAGCCGTGCTCCGTCCTCATGATCCAGGACCCGGACGCGGAAAAGGAGGCCGTGGCGCTGAGCGGGAGCCTGTTCTAAAACTTGGTTTGTTTTGGCGGGGGGCGCATCTGCGCGTGCCATCGGAGTAGGCCTTCGGAGGACACGGCCCGTGATGCAACGGATGGTGAAGCCATCGCGGGCCATCATGCCGCTCTGGAGGTGCCACATCGACAACGAGGCCTACGTCTCACGCTGAGCTCGAACATCTCCGCCGTCGACACAAGGTGCGTGCCAGCCGCCGGCGTTCGCCGCATCCGCGTCCCCATCCCGAATACACCCGCCGCCGACGCGCGCTGATCCGAAAGGGTTCGCGCGCCGCGCGGAGCCATCGCGGAGGCCATCCCCGAAGCGTGCACTGCTCTCTGCGCACTGCGCCGTCGCGGACGCCGCGCGCCGCATCCTGCCGCCCACCGGTCCCCGGTCCCCATTGCGTCCCGAGCGCGCGCGCCCTCGTAGGCCGCGGCGATGAAGTACTTCCCGCAGTACGCGGGCCTCGTGTCGACGCCGATGCTCGTCGTGCCGTCGACGCTCTACGTCGTCGCCGCGGTGCTCGGCTCGCGCATGACGACGCCGGGCAAGCCCGTCTGCGACGTCAAGAACATGATGCGGCTCTACAACGTCGCCCAGATCGCCGTCTGCGGCTACATGACGCTGGGCCTCCTGCCCGTGCTGGGGTGGCCGAACTTCTTCGGCATCGACTCGGAGTTCACGGAGGCGGGCGAGTGGTTCGTCCTGGTCCACTACCTGTCGAAGTTCCTCGACTGGTTCGACACCTTCTTCATCATCGCCAAGGGCAACGCGAAGAAGCAGCTCTCGTTCCTCCACGTCTACCACCACTCGACCATCGGCGTCGTCTGGGGCATCCTCCTCGCGTCGGGCAACGGCAACGGCACGGCGCGCTACGGCGCGCTCATCAACAGCGTCACGCACGTCTTCATGTACACGCACTACCTCTGGACGTCCTTCAAGTTCAAGAACCCGTTCAAGGCGCTCCTCACGAAGTGGCAGATCGCCCAGTTCTACTCGTGCTTCCTCCACGCGGTCCTCGTCCTCTCCGGCGTCTTCGTCGTGGAGACGAAGATCGACAAGGAGCTCGCCTGGCTCCAGTTCTGCTACCACATCACCATGGTCTACCTCTTCACCTTCCAGATGGCCTGGATCCCGAAGTGCTACGTGCCCCTCGACGAGCTCGACGACGCCGCGCCCGCCTCCTCGAAGAAGCGCGCGTAGGGCCCCGGCCTGTTGTGTGGCCCCTCGTTACGCCCCTCTATCGACGCTCAGCACCGCGTGTGGAGGCACCGGACGATCGTCGTCACGTTGTCCACGAGGTCGAAGTAGTGGAAGAGGAAGGCCACGGTCGGGGACGTCACGAAGATGGTGCAGCACAGGCACGCGCACACGTTGCGATGGTAGCGCCGCCGGTCGAGGGCCGCGTCGCTCCGGCCGCGCCGGGGCCCCTTGGACGCCTTCTTCTTCTTCTTCTTGCCCCCGGAGCGCTCGACGTCGTAGTAGATGTCCTCGTCGGACGCGCGGCCGCCGCCGAGGTCGTCGTAGCCGCCGCCGCCGCGCGCGGAGACCGCGGTCTCTTCGAAGAGCCCGTCGGTCGCGAGGTTCGCGAGGCCCTTTCTGTCATCTTCGAGCCCGGCGGCCCAGGACATGTCCTTGTCGTCTTCGACGAGCCGGAGCGCCTCGTCGATGTCGGCCGGCGCGCATCCCTTCGACTCCAGGAACGCGACCTTGTGCTCGCGCGAGGTGCCCGCGACGCGAGGGTGCTTGAGGAAGCGCGCGGCGCGTTCGACGCCGCCGCTGTCGGCAACAACGAGGGGCTGGTCCTCGCCCCCAATAACATTATCCTTGTCGCTCTTCCAGAAGTTGAACGCCATTTTTCAAGAGAGAAGGGAACGCCGCCCCGAATTTGGACGGGCCTCGAGTTGTCACGAGGTGGATAAGCACCACCACGAGGGGGGGGGCGGACCGACGAAGCGAGCGTCGCGCCTCGCTCCGCCGCCGGCTCACTTTGCGCCGCACTTGTCTGGGCGGCAAAATCCACAAAACCGGAGGCTCGCCGATTCTCTGAGACTGCGACCAGCCCACCACTCCGCCGCCGCCCTCCTCGACTTCAATATCAATGGACGCCATGGCCGACGATCGCGAGGCCCGATCAGAGTCCGACGTTAGGAGCCCATCCACGCGCGGTCGCGGGCCTCGGCGAGCGCGGCGGCGACGGCGGCGGTCGCGTTCGCGACGTCTCCCGGGCCGAGCTCCGCCGACGGGACGCCGCGGAAGACGCCGAAGGAGAGGTAGCGGGCGAGGACGACGAAGTTGCTGCAGCGCTGCCCGTTGTGGAGGAGGCTCAGCGTGTTGTCGTTCGTCGGGAGCGAGAAGAGCGGGTCCGGCGTCACGCAGGGGCTCAGCACGACGTTCGCGGACGCGAGGCAGTCGAGGGCGACGAGCGGGTTGCCCGCGCCGAGGAAGGTCAACGTCAAATCCCCGGGCCGGAGGCCGGACGTCGCCGCCTCCTCGAAGTGCGACACGCCGTCGCTCCAGCGCCGCGCGGGGCGCTCGACGGCGACGGGCCGCTGGCGCTTCGACGGCGCGCGCGCGAGGGCCGCGACGATCTCCGCCGCGGACGAGTCGCTGACGACGAGGACGTGGACCCTGCCCTTCGTCGCCGCTTCGCGGTGCTCGAGGTCCGCGGCGACGCGGAGGGACGCGCGGAGCGCCTCCGCGGCGTCGCGCGCGCCCCGGTCGTTCGCCTTGAGGTCCCCGAGGCGCACGTGGATGGCGACGCGGAGCTTCGGGGGCCGGTCCGCCGTGCCGCAGGTGCCGACGAAGCTCCCGCGGTCCACGGCGTGGTACGCCTCCGCGATCGCGGGCCACGCGAACGCTTCGTCGACGCGCGTTTCTACCGCCCCCAGGTCCGCGTCCATGGCCTGGACCGTGGCGTTGAGGGCGGCTAGAGTTTGTCGGTGCGCGTCGACGGCATTCGTGACGTCGCGGAAGGAGTCCCCGCCGACCGACCGCAGGCCGTCGCGCCTGTTTGTGATCTCGACGACCAGTTCCTCGAGGCGGTCGCGCACGGGCGCGAGCAAGCTCTCGACGCCGACGTCGGCGGCGTGGCGCGACGGGAGCGTATGGAAGCCGAACCATTCGTCCAGGTCGGGCACGAGGAAGCACTCGAAGTGGTCCCTGAACAAAGCCGCGCCCGTCGGGAACCGGTCGACGTAAAAGGGGATGAGCTTCTTGTCGACGCGCCGCGTGTGGAGCTTGAGCCGCTCGTACGGCTTGAGCGTCGCCAGGAACGCCTCCGACCAGACCACGGAGTCCCGCGCGTGGCAGTAGAGGGACGGCGCGTAGCCGTCGGCGATGCCTCGAACGTCCCGGAGGTAGGCCCCGGTCCGCGACACGTTTTCCCCGAAGAGGTGCGCGCCGCGCCGCGCGACGCCGCCGCCCCCGTTCATCGCGGATCGCATCGCGCGGATGTACTCTTTGATGACGTCCTCCGCCGCGTGGCCCAGCCCGTCGAACCGCTTCGCTCCTAACGGCGCGTAGCCGGGCGCCGACCAGGCGACGAGCTCGCCGCCGCGGCCGCCGCCGACGCAGGGGAAGTAGGGCCACGCGTCGACGAGGAGCGTCAGCCGGCTGTGCGGCCGCCAGTGCGCGTCGGCCGCGCGACCGCTCCACACGCACGGGGGCACGCACGCCGCCTCCATGGCGCAGACGTGCGCCTCGATGACCCCGAAATCGGGCGCGACCGCCGGCGCCCCGAGGGCCGCGCGCCACCACCACGTCGCGTTCGCCGCCGAGGCCTGCTTCGCGGCGCCGACGCCCGCCGCCGCCAGCGCCAGCAGGAGCGGGACCATGGTCGCCACAGCTCGCCTTCTCTCCTCTCTCGCCTCTACCCGAAATGCAATGGCAAAATCGCTAAAACAAGCTAGCCCACGCGTTCACGTCGTTCTCCATGCCCCCCTCGGCGGCGTCGTCGTCCTTGCGCCAGGCGGGCTTCGCGTTCAAGAACGCGAGGCGCCAGATCGCGAAGGTCGGCGCGGAGAGGAACGCGGCGACGACGACGCCAAGGCAAAGCGCGACTCGCCCGCGCGCAAGCGCAGCATCTCGGGCTCGGGCGACGACGCGGCGTAAAGATTGTTAGGCTATACTTGCGCGTCGAGGTCGGCGAGGGCCTTTATAGCTTTCTCGTGGCCCTTGGCAGCAGCGCGCTCGAACCAGTATCTGGCTTTGCCGAGGTCGACTTCCGTGCCTTCTCCGTCCCTGTAACAAATGCCAAGGTTGTACTCCGCCTTGGTATGGCCTTGATCCGCCGCGAGCGCATAGTACCGGAACGCTTCTTCAAATTTCTTCTCAGAGTAAAGTAAATTCCCTTGATTGCATTGTGCGACCGCGTGGCCCCGATCTGCGGCCGCGCGATACAGCCGCTCCGCTTTCTTCTTGTCCAGCTTGACACCACTCCCGGTCCTGTACAATAACCCAAGGTTTATCATTGCATCCACGTCGCCGAGCTCCACGGCGCGCCGGTAAATTTTCGCGGCTTTCTTATCGGATTTCACGAGGCCGAAGTCACCGCGGCGGTACGCGTTTCCCAAAAACGCAATCGCTTCCGGCACCTCGTTCTCCACATGGCGGCGAAGGCGCGCGAGTTCTTCCGCGTCATCTGCTACCGGTACACGACAGAGGGGGCACGCGTCTCCGATCTTGTCCTCGCACGATTGGCAGACCAGCCGGCAGCAACAGATGCGAAGCACGCCCCCAGTATTCACGTCCCACTCCTCGAGGCAGATCGGGCACCGCGACCCGAGCCGTGCCGACGTCGGCTCCCGCTCCGGGTTCGCCTCGCGCCGCGCGCGAGCCGCCTCGTGTTCCGCCGCGATGCGCGCGCGGACCTCGTCGGCGAGCGACCGCGGCGCGGGGCCGTAGAAGACGGGCTTTGGGGGGGACGGTGGCGCCTCCGCCCGCGCCGCCTCCGCCGCGCGCTCGGCTCGAATCTTCTTGCACGCCTTGCGGTGCCCGCGATCGCGCCAGTCGATGCGTTGGCATTCAGTCGAACAATACTGCGTAGTTCCGCACGGGCAGCAAAGCAAGGTTCTCGGTTTCGCCCCACAAATCGTGCACGTCAAACGCAGCTGTAGCGCTTTCGCCCGCGCCTTCTTCTCTTCGTATTCTCGCTGCTTCTCGACGTACTCGGCCTTCATGATCGTTTGCGGGGCGGCGCGCGGGCGACAGTCCTGGTCGCAACAATGGTAAAATCGCTCAAAATCTTACCCCAGGCCTAAGCCCACCCCTAGAGCGTCGCGCTCATGTCGTTCTCCAAGCCCCCCTCGGCGGCGTCGTCGTCCTTGCGCCAGGCGGGCTTCGCGTTCAGGAACGCCGAGCCACCACAACCCCAAAGTCGGCGCGGAGAGGAACGCGGTCGACGACGACGCCAAGGCCAAGCACGACTCGCCCGCGCGCGAGCGCAGCATCTCGGGCTCGGGCGATCGACGCGGCGTAAATTAGGCTACTCGCGCGTCGAGGCGCGCGAGCTCGTCTATAGCATCCTCGTCGCCCTTGGCGGCGGCGCGCTCGAACCAGTATCTGGCTTTGCCGAGGTCGAGTTCCGTGCCTTTTCCGCGCTGGTAACAGCAGCCAAGGTTAAACTCTCCAGGGGTATAGCCTTGATTCGCCGCGAGCACAAAGTACCGGAACGCTTCTTCAAATTTCTCGTCAGAATGAAGGAAAGCCCCTAAATTGCATTGCGCGGTCGCCTCGCCCCGATCTGCAGCCGCGCGATAGAGCCGCTCCGCCTTCTTCTTGTCCAGCTTGACGCCTTCCTCATACTCGTACATTTCCCCAAGAAATACCATCGCCCGCACATCTCCGAGCTCCACAGCGCGCTTCCAAATTTTTGCGGCTTTCTTCTCGGATTTCAAGAGGCCCAACCGACCGTCGCGGTACGCAAGTCCCAAATGCGAAATTGCTTCCGGCACGTCGTTCTCCACGTGGCGGCGAAGACGCGCGAGCTGCTCCGCCTGGTTTTCCGCGCACGGCAATCGACAGAGGGGACACGCGCTGATGCCGATCTTTTTATCGCACGATTGGCAGACGTTTCGGCAGCAACAGATGCGAAGCACGTTCTTCGCATTCACGTCCCACTCCTCGAGGCAGATCGGGCACCGCGACCCGTACCGCGCCGACGTCGGCACTGGCTCCGGGTTCGCCTCGCGCCGCGCCCGCGCCGCTTCGTGTTCCGCCGCGATGCGCGCGCGGATTACGTCGGCGTCCGACCGCGGCGCGGGGCCGTAGAACACCTCCCGCGGCGGCGACGGCGGGGGCGTCGGCGCCTCGGCGCGGGCCGCCTCCGCGGCCTGAATCTTCTTGCAGACCTTCCGGTGGCCCCGGTCGCGCCAGTCGATGCGTTGGCAGTCCGTCGAACAGTAGGCCGTCGTGCCGCACCCTTTGCACGCCTTGGCCTTGTCGGCGCCGCAGATCGTGCAGGTCTTGAGGGTGTCGAGTTTTTTGCCCCTCGCTCGGACCATGCGAGTCTCATACTCCAACTTCTTCTCCTGCCACGACATGGCGCCCTTGACCGCAAGCTCCTGTCGCGACCGCAATCGCTCGCCGACCCGCAGGCTGAAAATGCCACAATCTTGCCAAGCATCACAAGCTCGAGCCCTGCGCCCCGACGTCGCGCCCGCGCGCCCGCGCGACGTAGCCCGATGCTGTGCTCCTGCTACGGGGACGGCGAGGCGGAGGCGCCCGGCAGCGTGCTGCGGTCGGACTGGGTGCGCGCGCGGCTCGACTACGCCCTGGCCGTGGAGCGGCGGCGCTTCGTCGTCGTCTCGTCGCCGCAGGCCGAGGACGCGAGCGTGTGTTGCTACGCCGACGGCGGTCGGCGGAGTCCGCTCTGCCGCGTGCGCCTCGAGCACGTCGTCATCACGGGCGACGACGGCCGGCGGTGCCGCGTCTGGCGCCGCGACGGCGCGCGGCCCGCGCTCTGCTTCGCGCTCCGCTTCGAGACGCTCGGGGCCAAGCTCGACTGGTGGCGGGCCGCGCGGCGCGCCGCGCGCGAGGCGGCCGTACGACGGGGCGCGCCGCCGCGGCCGCGGACCGGCCTCGAGAGCCCCGTCGCGGCGAACCTGGACCTCAAGGCCGCGCTCCGCGCGTGCCGCGAGGGCGCGCGGGGCGACGGCGAGGAGGCCAAGGACGAGCCCGAGCCCCTCCCGGCGCCGGACGACGAGCCGCCGACGCCGCGCCGGCCGAGCGAGGCGCCGCCGGAGACCGAGCGCACCGTGGTCTGGCGCGCGCACGGCATGTGCGTCTGCGAGGACGCGCGCGGCTGTGTGCAAATCAAATCTTCAACCCGACTTCAATGTGAGCGTATTCGAATGTTTTGACACAAGCACTTCCGCCGTGCGTCGAGAACTCGCTGAGAGCAATCGATTCGTCCAAAAATCAGCCGAATCGACTTCGATTTGACCGAGCTAGAGAATTCTGAAGTTTGGCCCCGACGTCCCAGCTCACTGGTTGATTTGCACACAGGCGCGCGGCGAGACGTCCGTGGAGCCGACGTATGTCCACGTCGCGCGCGTCGCCTACGGCCGCCTCCTCAAGGCCTTCATCCGCCCACCGCGCGCGGACTACGACGTGGCGCAGCTGGGCCCGCGGACCTTCGTGTTCCGGGGCCACACGTACCACCGCCGCGACCGCGAGGCGACGAACGAGCGCGGCCGCGCGGTGCGCTACAGCGTCTGGCGCCGCGCCGCGCGGCGCGCGGCGCCGCGGCGGTCCGGCGTCGCCGGCACGGCCGGCGACGCGGACCGCGTCGTCACGGTCGTCTACGCGCACGGCAACGCGTCGTCGCGCGTCGAGGGCCTGTCGCAGCCTGTGTCGAATTCAACCACTGGTTTGGGTGGTCCTGACCAAACTTGAGAATTCTCTAGCTCGGTCAAATCGAAATCGATTCGGCTGATTTTTGGACGGATCGATTGCTCTCGTCGAGTTCTCGAAGCAAAGCCGAAGAGGTTGCGTCGAAACTGTCGCGTACGCTCACCTTGAAGTCGGGTTGAAGATTTGAATTCGGCACAGGTCGCAGCTCGCGCTCTGCCTCGACCTCGGCTGCCAGTTCATCGCGCTGGACTGCTGCGGGTCCGGCCAGAGCGACGGCGAGTACGTGTCGTTGGGCTTCAAGGAGCAGGACGACGTCGCGGCGGTGCTCGCGGCGGAGCGCGCCGCGCCCGGCGGCGTGGGGGACGTCGTGTTGTGGGGGCGGTCCATGGGGGCCGTCACGGCGCTGCTCGTCGCGTCGACGCGCGAGCCCGACGTCAAGGCCCTCGTGCTCGACAGCGCCTTCGCGTCGCTGCGGTCCCTGAGTTTAGATGTGGTCCGCCGCGGCGCGAACGGCGTGCCGCGGGTGCTGGCGGAGGCCGCGCTCCGCTGGATCCGCGGCTCCGTCCGCGAGCGGGCCGACTTCGACATCTTCGACGTCGACGCGCTCCGCCACGCGCCGGAGTGCGAGGCCGCGGCCTTCTTCATCTGCGCGGCCGACGACGGCTTCGTCGAGCCGTCGCACTCCGCGCGGCTCCACGACGCCGTCGCGTCCGCCGCGAAGGAGATGTGCGTCTGCCCGGGCGCGCACAACACGACGCGGCCGCGCCAGTGCTACGCGCGCGTCGAGTTGTTTTTGCGGCGCGTGCTCTTCGGCGAGGAGCTGGCCGACGACGCTCGGACGCTCGCCGACGACCTCGACGCGACCTTGCTCCCGCTCATCTCGGAGCCGCGCCGCGCGGACCGGCCCAACTTCGCGGCCCTCGCGCCCTGGACCGTGGAGAATCTCGTCATCCGCGCGAAGCAGCGCCTCGGCCAGGACGACGACGACGACGGCGACGACGACCCGCGGCCCGCTTCGGCGCCGCGCTGGCTCGCCGACGCCGCGGAGCCCGCGCACGACGACACGGTCGCCGCCATGCAGGAGGAGACGGCCCGCGTCGCGAAGCTGCTCTAGAGGAGGGGAGTCGTAACTTTTGTTTACTACGCCCGCGGCGTCGCGACCCACTCCGCGCCCTCCCACCCCAGCGGCGCGGCGCTCGGCGCGGCCGTTTCGGCGGCCGCGGCGCCGACGGTCTTCACGACGCCGGCCTTGCAGTTGACCTCGTGGCGCCCGATGGCGTCGAAGGTCACGTCCTGGAGGAGCTGGATCTTCGGGACGGAGAAGATGCCGTCGCAGTCGCAGTTTCGGATCGCCGTGTCGACGACGGACGCGGAGCCGCGCGTGACCACGACGCCGTCCTCGCAGCCGTCGACGACGCAGTGCTCGAGCTTGAGCGACGCGGCCTCGCTCGCGACGCCCGTGTCGCCGGCGTTGGAGACGAGGCACCGCTTCAGGGCGACGGCCCGGGCCCCGCGCGAGCACGTCACGCCCTCGGAGACGGTCAGCCCCTCGCACGTCGCGCCGTGGCCGTCGAGCCGGACGCTCCGCAGCGCGGCGGCGGCGTCCTCGCCCGCGCCGCGGAGCGTGACGCCCGCCGGCACGGCGACGGCCTCGTCGTAGGCGCCGCCGGCGGGCACGACGACGACGCACTTGCGGCCCTTGGCGGCCGCGGCCGCGAGCGCCGCGGCGACGGACGCGTGGTCCGCGACGTCGACGCGGTAGAGCGCGATGGGCGCCGGGGCGGCGGGCGGCGGCGGCGGCGGGGGCGGCGGCGCGGCCTTCTTCGGCGGCGGCGCCGGCAGCGTCCAGCCGCCGATTATGGCCGGGCCGTTTGGGGGTCCCAGCGGGTCGCGCGGCGCGGCGCTGGCGGCGGCGGCGGCCGGCGGCGCGTCGGCCATGTCGAAAACGCCCGCGGAGGCCTCGAGGACGGTCGGCGGCGGCGGGGGCAGCATGCTCGCATCCATCTTGGCCATCTTGGCCAGTGGCAGCCCAGCCGCTCTGCACTTTGCTGCGATTTCACCATCTTTTCACCACTGGCGAGCGCAAGCCGCGACGAGTCCTCACGCGCCATCGCGGCCCGCGGTGCGAGCAATGGCGCGTCGTCTCGCCGTTGTCGTGGCGCTGGCGACGACGAGCCTGGCGGCGACGACCAACGTCTCGAGGACCGACACCTCCTGGTGGCGGCGCGCTCTCGCCGCGCCGGCGCTGGTGACCGATTTTGACATCATCGCGACGCACGTCTGCGGCATGCCGGCGCTCGTCGAGAGCCCGGACACGATCCATCGCGCGCAGCCCTGCCAGGACCTGCTGGGCGAGTCGTGGCCCTACTTTCCGGAACGGTGCCGCGGCCGCGGCGAGGCGAGCGCGAAGGTTCAGCGCGACCAGGGCATCGACGGCGTCGGGCACTTCGGCCGGACGATCGTGGCGGCGCTCGAGAAGCGGCCCGAATTTCGCGCGCTCCCGCGCTTCTTCGGACAGTCCGCGAGCGTCGGCGGCGTCTACCTCCGCGACGTCGCGGGCCTCGGCGACGGCTTCGCGCCGTCGCTCTACTGCCACGAGCGGGCGCACGTCAAGCGCGCCTTCGACGCGCGCAAGAATAGCGGGTGCCGGCCGGCGGACGAGTTCCGCGCGTTCTTCACCACGCGCTACCCCGCGGGCGCCGCGCTGTTCCGGGACCACTTCGAGTGCTTCGCGACGCCGCCGTTCGACGCGTGGTTCGGCTTCGACGCGCTCCCGGCGGCCGACGACCCGGCGTGGGAGGGCCGCGCCGTCGCCGAGACCTACGCGTCCCTCGACCGCGGCGCCTTCGCGGGAGGCTGCGGCGCGGCCGCCGGCGCCGCGCGGCTCGCGATCCACGCGCGGCTCGGCGACCTCTTGGCGACGGCGGGCCCCGCCGAGGGCCGGCGCCTCCGCAACGCGCTCGTCGTCGCCGCGACGCTCGCGGCGCGGCTCCGGGGCCGCGTCCACGTGCTCGTGCTCAGCGACTCGCCCGCGGCCGCCGTCGCGGGCGTCCTCGAGGACGACGTCCGCGTCGAGCTCGGCGACGCGCGGAGCGACGGCGTGTCGCATCTCGTCGACGGCCGCACGGTCGGGCTCGAAAACGACGTCGAATTGACCTTCCTCGGCGCGGGCAACCCGCTCGTCGCCATCCACTGCATGGCGACCGCGGACGTGCTCCTCGGCCCGGAGGCGTGCGGCGAGCCCTGGGCGCCGCGGCGCCGCCTCGGCCGGAAGCGATGGAAGGGGGCGTCGGCGAAGTTGGCCCAGAACCGAGCGGACTTCGCCGGCGTGAGCGACGAGCGCTGCAGCAGCGTCGTCGCCTTCGCGAGGCAGCTGGCCGCGGGGGGCGCCGTGTTCCGCGGGCTGCCGGCGGCGCCGCTCAACGCGACGTCCGTCGACGCCGGCCTCGACGCTTTCCTCGCCCGCGGGCCGCCCGGGGCCCCGCTAAGGCGCGCGTGACCCGGGTCTTTCGTCCGAACTGCAACCTATGGCGTTGAGGCCGACGCTGCCATAGCAGCCCGAGCTCTCGGTGGCCGCCGTCGACTTCGGCACAAGTCGACTAGCTGTGGACCATGGCGGCCATCGCTGCCCCCTACGCCGAGGACGAGACGACGCGGGCCCCGGCGGTCTGCCCGACGTGCCGGAGCGACGACCACTCCTCCTACAACTCCGGCAGCGGGCGCAACGAGATCTACAAATGCGGTGCCTGCGACAAGTACTTCACGCGCGGCGACGTGGACCGGTTCCTCAGCGAGTGGGAGACGACGCTCAAGGCGCGCCTGAGCCGCGAGCGGAAGAAGAAGGGCAAGAAGAAGGCGCGCATCATGACGCCGGAGCACCTCATCCCCGTGTGCCCCGACACGGAGTGCGCGGGCTACATGAAGTCCTGGTGGGGCGACATGGGCGTCGACGAGATCTTCCGCTGCGTCGAGTGCTGCCGGCCCTGGCACGCCAAGGACGTCGTGAAGATGCGGGCCCAGGCCGTGGCGCGCGCGAAGCAGGACCGGGCCGCGGAGGCCGCGCGCGCGGACGACGCGCCCGTCATCGAGGCGTCCGAGGGCGGCTTCGACATGTCCGACCTCGACGACGTCCTCGAGCGGGAGGACTAGGCGACCGCGCTTTTATAAGCCCATGTGCGCGAGGCGCGTCAGGCGCGCGAGGGGGTTGGGGTCGTTGTCCGCGAAGCCCGCCGTCGTCCGCGGCCGCGACCGCGAGTAGAGCCGGGGGATGGGCCGCCGCTTCGTGGCGATGACCTCGGCCAAGGGCCTGGGCTTGGCCCGGAGCCGCGCCGCCGCCGTCTGGGCGCGCTTGTCCCGCTTGTGGGGCGGGTCCACCGTCGAGAACGAGCTCGAGAGCTCGCTGAGCTCGGGCGCGAGGAAGGCGATGGGCGCCATGGAGTCGCGCGTCTGCCACCACTTGCCCGTCTGGGGCCGCCGGTTCTGGCTCGACGCCGCCCGCGGCAGGGACTGGGACCGCTTGAGCTCCGCGTTCTTCTCCAGCGACGCGATGCCGTCGAAGATCGCGTCCCACGAGTGGTCCTCGGGCTTCTTGTCGGAGCGGACGCGGCCGTGGAACGTGGACGTCCGCGCGCGCACGGCGTCCCAGCCCTCCTCGGGGCTCAACGCCGTCGTCGGGCGGCTGCTGTGCTCCGACGCGGGCGTCGTCGCGCGGCTCAGGTTCGGCGCGGACTGCGAGAGCGCGAGGCCGCGGTTCGTCGCGAGGCTGAGCTTGGGCTTCGGGTCGGGCTCCTTCTTCAGCGGGCGCTTCTTCCGGCCCGGCGACGCCGCCGGCGGCGACTTGGGCGTCGGGGGCGTCGACGTCCGCGACCGCTGGATCTGCGTCATCCGGGACCGCCGCGTCGCGCCGCCGCGCGCGGACCGCGGCACGGACGCGAAGGCCGCGGCGGCGACCTTGGCCGCGCTCAGGGTCTCCTGGACGCCCCGGACCTCCGTCTTGGCGCTCGTCGACTGGACGACGAAGTCCCAGGGCACCTTGCGGGGCCCGTCGCCGCCCGCGGGCCGGTTCACGTCGAGCTGGCCCACGAGGACGCCATTCCAGGTCCAGATGCGCGCCAGCCCGTCCTCGGACGCCGTGAGGATCGTGCGCGGCTTCTCGATGATCTGCAGCGACGTCACCTCGACGTCGTCGTGGGCCTGGAAGACCGCGAGGTCCCAGGAGTCGCGGTCCGACGCGCCCGCGACGTTCGCCAGCGACGAGCGGCCGCCGAGGTCGACCTGGCTCAGGCGCCGGCTCCGCCGGAGCTCGGACCAGTTCACGGTCGTGTGCACCTGGCGGCCCGGGTTGTAGGTGCGCCGCCGCACGGGCGGCACGCGCCGCAGGTTCAGCCGCGCGAAGAACGACGACCGGAGCGCCCACGTGACGACGCCGCCGCCGTCCGTGCCGCCGCCGACGACGGCGTCGATGCGGCCGTGCGAGCTCGACGCGGACGCGGCGTCGTCCGTGACGAACGCGCGCCCGTCGCCGGCGCCGGCGCCGTCCGCGTCCGCGGGCCCGTCGTCGACGGGGTCCTCGAGGGCGACGACGTGGGCCGTGACGAAGGCGTTGGCCTTCTTGTCCGGGGCCACGTAGTCCTTGTGGTACCAGGGCACGGCCTGGGGCGGCGGCTCGTCGCGGTAGTCCAACGTGTGCAGGATGCCGCACTCGGGCACGCGCCAGAGGTGGGCCACGCCCGTCGACGTGAGCCCGCAGAGCACGGGGAAGGGCGTCAGGAAGCCGATGGCCGTGACGCGCTCCACGGCGCCCGCGCGGTCGTCGACGATGCCGCTCTCGTTCGCCGCCGCGGCCTTCTTCTGCGCCGCCAAAATGGCCATCGAGTCGCGCACGGACACGGGCGGCAGGCACGTGCCCAGCAAGATGAAGAGCTCGAAGTCCCAGACGCAGAGCTGGGGCGTCGGCGACGAGCCGTTGCGCGACACGGACGCGATCAAATTGAGGTGCAAATCCGCGGTCGCGCAGAGAATCTCGTGCGTCTCCGTCGCCGTCGACTCGAGCACGCTCTCGCTCCGGGGCGGCGCCTCGGGGACGCTCACGGTCTTTTTGGTCGCCGCCTTGGCCACCGCGGCGGCGCCGGCGATGCCCCCGGGGGGCGACCCCTTGGATCCGGGGCTTCCGGAGCCGTCGTACGAGTCGTCGCTGTCGCTCTCGCTCTCGGAGTCGGAGTCGCCGCGGCCCGCGGCGTGCTTCCGCGCGTAGTCCGCGTTGACCTTGACCTCGCGGCCGCCGTCGAGCGTGTTGCGTCTTTTGAGCAGGTCGCCGCGGTTGAACGTCAGGTGCGCCGTCGCGGGGCGGCTCCCGTCCGCGCGGTGCTCGTCCGCGGCCTTGCGGATGGAGCCCATGATCTTCACGTCCCGCAGGCGCACGCTGCGCTGGAGCACCGTGCCGTCGTCGTTCGGCGGGCAGTAGCCCCTCGCGTCGCCCTCGTCGTGCACCGCGATGGTGCCGTCGGACGCGCCGCCGCTGAGCACCAAATTCGCGGCGTCGAGGAAGCTAAAGTCGGACACGGACGACTCGTGGGGGTCGAGGCTCTTGGTCCGCCGCGGCGCGTGGCCGCCGGGCGGCACGACGCAGACGTGGACGCCGCCGCGGTCGTCGCCGACGACGAGCTTGCGCCCCGCGACGGCGACCTTGGCCGCGACGATCTCCGGCGGCGACGAGTCCGCGGCCTCGACGACCGTCTCCGCCTCGCCGGGCATGTTCACGCTCAGCTCGCGCGCGCCCTTGCGCTTCCGCGACAGCGTCGCGAGCTTGACGTGCTCCTGGGCCTGCCCCCCCTCGGGCCCCGCCTGCGCCGCCGCGTCCTCGTCGCCGATGAGGTTCGCCGCGGCGATCTGCGACCGCAGGCGCCCGCTGTTCGCGTCCCAGACGGAGACGCGCTGCGCGCTCACGACGACGAAGACCGCCATGCCCGCGTCGTAGTGCGCTAATAACAACGGCTCCTTGATGAGGCTGAGCTGGAACTGGTAGAGCGCTAATCTCGTATTCGCGGCGACGAGCACCGCGTCGGGCCCGCCGGCGTTGCCCTTTGATAATTGGCCGCTCTTGACCTTGGCGGCGATGTCGCGCGCCGGGTTCGACGACGCGTAGCCGTAGTGGGGCAGGGGCGAGATGCACACGCGCACGTTCGGCAGGTCGCCGCTCGGCAGCGTGACCTGCTGCCGCGCCGTGAGCTGGGGCATCTGCCAGACGACGACGAGGCCGCCGATGTCCGCGGTGACGAGCTGCGCCTCGTCGACGACCTCGACGACGTCCGAGATCTGCGCGCTGTGGCGCGTGAGCTGCGCGTGGATGCGCCGCTTGAGGCCGTGCTGCGAATGCTCGCTGAGCTTCCAGACGAGGACCACCGTCGACGCCGTCGCGTCCTTGACGGAGAGGCGCCCCGCGGAGAAGAGGAGGCCGTGGTCCACGGACACGACGATCGTGCCCGGCCCCGTGGACTGCGCCGCGAGCTGGAGCACGGGCACGAGCTCCTTGCGCCCGTGGGGCGCGGGCACGGCCGCGGAGCTGTGGTCCTCGCCCAACGCGGCGGAGTCGAAGGTCGCGTCGTCCGCGGCGCCGCCGCCGAACCAGTCGCTCGGGTTCCAGACGTTGATGTTGCCGTCCGTGGACCCCGTGACGATGAGGTTCGAGTGGCGCTTCCGCCGCTCCAGCTCCACGATCGTCGTGACGCCAAAGGTGTGGAGCCGCAGCGTGCGGCAGCGGCCCAGGGCCTTGGGCCCCGTCGCGTCCGCCGACGCCGACTTGCGGTTCTCGTCGAACGACCACTCGTAGACCAACCCGCTCGTCTCGCCGCCCGTGTAGAGGCGGTCGAGCCGCGCCGAGTAGGTGATGGCCGACATGGGGCTCGGCGTCTCGCGCCGGTGCACGAGCACGGGCAGCAGCGGGCCCTCGCGGGCGCCTCCGGACCGCGACGGCAGCGACCAGAGGCTCACGTAGTGCGGGCCGCCCGGCGCGATGGACGACCCCGTCACGACGATGGACGTGCCCACGACGCCGCCGCAGGCTAAAACCTTGTGGGGCCGGTACGCCGTGTGGTGGCGCAGCGCGCCGGACACGCGCGGCGGGTGGTCCGGCGTGATGATGTGGACGAGTTCCACGCCCTGGTCGCCTAAGGGTGATGCAACGTCGCTTCAACGTGAGTGTTCCGCGCGCGCGCGTTCCGGGGAAAGCGTCCACGCGTCGAGACCGCTCCGGGAGATGATCGCTCGTCCAGAAATCAGCCGAAACGAGTGGAAAACGACCGAGAGGGGAGCCTTTCGAGTTGGCGCCCGTTTCCCGCCCCGGCTGTCACCCTGCGGCAGCGCGAGCACGCGGTGGATCGGCGGCGGCAGGTAGGTCAACGACACCAGACCGTTGGCGAAGTCCTCGTTGACCGCCGCGTCCGGGATCATGTGGTACTGGCGCAGCCGCGGCGCGCCGATGACCTCGGCCTCGGCGCTCCGCTCCTCCTCGTGCTCGCGCCCGGGCTCGTCCGCGTCCTCGACCTCCTCCCGCTCGCGCTTCGGCATGTCGAGCCCCAGGACGAAGGCCGCGAAGTCGTTCCAGTCGAGCTCGCCCTCGCCCCGTAGATCCATCTGGCGGAAGAGGTCCACGGCGCCCGCAGCCCACGCCATCTCCAGGTCTCCTCGAGGCGCGTTCGTCGCCGTGGCCATGAGCACGAGGAAGTCCTCGGCGCGGAGCTTGCCGCCCTCGGGCACGCGGTCGATGGCGTGCGGGTCCGTGCGCAGCTTCGACTCGGGCGGCGCGTTGCGCACCAAAGCCCGCGCCGCCGTGAGCGACCACTGCGCCCGCAGCTGCTCGATGGACGTGCCCGCGATGAGGGCGCTCAGCTGCTGCCCGGCGCTCAGCGCCGAGGCCATGGCGGCGGCCGGCGCTGCTCGTGGAAACGCCGCGCGCGACGACCACCGGGGGCGCGCGACCCGGGCGCCGTACGCTGCCCACCGTCGGGCCGCGCTAAAGCCGCGGCAACAAATCAACATCAACACGAACGAGGGTGGCATGGTATGGTCGCCACTCCGTGGGCTGCGCATGGTGGAAAGGCAATTTGCTGGGCTGCGCCGCGCGGCGCGTCCGATCGGGCGTCGCCGGGGGCCGGGATTCGCGTGGTTCCGGTGCTCTTCGTGCTGCAGCTGCCGCTGGTGACCGGATCGGCTGTGGGAAGGGAGTGGCGTTCCGACGGGTGATCGTCGGACCGTCGGAAGCGGATTTGGTTGCGGCGGGTCTCGGCCGCGGGTCGCGCGTCGACATGCTCGCGGCGCGGGTTGCAGCTCTCGCGATTTGCGCCGATTTTACAGCCCGCGCGCCGTCGCGCGGGCGGTTTTTAGCGCCTGTTGACCTGCTACTTTACGGCAACTTCACACTCTTGACGCTCGAGGGCGCTGTTTTTTGAGAGACTCGGCGCGCCCGTCGTCGCTCGTCGGTTTTGGGTACGACGATTTTAAGTGCACTGATAGGATATATACTCGGGTTGCCTTCAAGGTCGCTGTTTTTTTAGCGCACAGGTCCAGGCCACAATGAGCTCGTCGACCGGTCTCCGTTCCCGCCTCTCCACGCGCGCCGGCTCGTCCTCCTCGGTGTCGTCGGCCTCGGCGGCGGCGTCGTCGCCCCTGATCCGGACGGCCTCCTTGCCTAAGAGGAGCAAGGAGAGGTACTGGATTTTCCTAAAGGTCAAGGGGGAGGATCAGGAGGTTCGTAACGTTCTGCTCGTCGTCCTCGCCGAGCACGAGGAGATTCGGGCCTACGGACAGGGCTTCGACACGAGGGAGTACAACGGCACGGGCTTCTTCGCCTTCAAGGCCCACAAGCTCCTCAAGGAGGCGACGGCGCACGCGTGCGCCGCCGCCGCGCGCTTCTACGACGCGACGGAGGAGGAGGCCCTGGCGGCCCTGCGCTCCCTGGGGCCGCGCGGGTACGTGCGCCTCGACGGGTTCCTCGGCATCATCCGCCGGGGCGAGGACGGCGCGCTCACCGCGGTCAAGGCCGCGGTCGCGCGGCGCGCCATCGACGTCGCCGCCGACGACGAGCCCGGGCCCGAGATCGTGGAGATCGTCGACTCGCAGCCGGGGACGGAGGACGACGACGTCGACGACGAGCCGCCGGCGTCGCCCCCGGCGTCGACGAGCCCGCGCCGCGCGCGCGCGGAGGCGGCGGTGGCGACGGTGACGCCCGTCGACGCGCGCGACACGAAGGCGCCGCGGTTGAGCGCGGCGTCGCCGGACGCGCCCCGGCCGCCGTCGCTGGCGCCGCCGCCGCTCGTGAACGGCGGCGGCGCGCCGGTGGGCGGCGGCGTCGTGCCGGGGCCCGCGGCGCTCGAGCTGGGGCAGTTCGCGCCCGCGCCGGTGCCGTACTCGCCCTGCTTCCCGCCGCCGTCGATGCCGCCGTACGCGCCCTACTACCAGCCGACGGCGCCGCCGCCGGCGTTGCAGCAGTCCGCCGTGGACATCGAGGCCACGGTGCGCCGCCTGATGGCGGAGGGCCAGGCGCGCGACCGCGACCGCGACCGCGCCGACGCCGCGGTCAACGGCGGCCTGCGCGCGCAGCGCGGCGGCTTCGTGCGCAAGCGCTGCCGGTACGGCGCGAGCTGCTACCGCCGCGACTGCCGCTACGCGCACTGACGGCGCCGGGGCCGCAAGGTCCCGGCGCCGGAAAGTCGCGTAAAGAAACAGACGCGGCGCGCGCTCCAAGACGGCGCGCGTCGTTATTGCGGGAGCCGCGGCGGCCGGCGGCGGCGACGCGTGGGCGGCGCGGCGGCGCGGGCGGTCGACGGCGGCGGCGGCGGCGGGCGAGGGCCCGCGTCGAGGCGGCGCCGGGCTGGCTCGGCGGCGGCGCGGCGCGGGGCTGGGCGAGCCCTTGGCGCTTTAACCCCCGGCGATACTTGCTCAAGGTCGGCGGCAACTTCACTGCACAACCACGACTTTGGTAAATGTCGGCTCCGGCGCCGATGGCATGGTCCCTACCGCTCTGAGGGCTGCACCGGTCACTGCTGGCGGCGGCGCGCGGGCGGCGCGACGGCCCGGGCCGGCGGCGACGGGGGCGGCGGCGGCGGGCGAGGGCCTGCGCCGAAGCGGCGCCGGCATTGGCGGCAGGGCCGCAGGTCGTGTGGACCGCGCGGCAGCGGTGCGCGCACGGGTACGCAGGGCGCGGCGGGCGACGACGACGGCGCGCCGACGCCGCCCGCGCCGGCGCCGCCGCAGCCGCCGCCGACGGCGACGGCGGTGCGCGCGGCGGCCGTGGAGCGGTCGCTGTGGGTGCTGTCGCTCAACGTCCGCGCGCTCACGGAGGAGAAGCTCCTCGTCGTGCGGCGCGCGCTCGACGAGCTTACGCGGGCCGGCCGGCGGCCAGACGTCATCTGCCTGCAGGAGACGTGGGGCACCGAGGCCTCGGAGCGCCGCTTCGCGCTGGAGGGCTACCGCATGTTCGCATTCTCGCGCGGCGGCCGCGGCGCGCGGTCGCCGGGCGGCGGTCTCGCGACGTACGTGCGCAGCGAGCTGCGCGCGTGCACGCTGGAGAAGGGCGAGAGCGGCGTCGTCGTGGAGCTGCCGGACGCCGTTCCGGCCGTGCACATCGCCAACGTGTACAGGTCGGAGCGCGCCGACCGGGAGCTGCCGGTCGGCGCGCGCTTCTTCGACTTCGTCGGCGGCGCCGTCGACCGCGCGCGCGCCGCCGGGGCCGTCGCCATCGTCGCCGGCGACTTCAACGTCGCCGGCCTCGAGAGCACGGACCCGGCGTGGCCGCGCGCGCCGGGGCGGCTCGGGAGCGCGGTGGCGGAGCTCCCGAGGATGCGCGCCTGGATCGACGACCGCGGCCTCACGGTCGTCAGCGGCGCCGGCTGCTCGCCCGCGGAGGCCGTGACGCGGCGGTCGGGGGACCGCGCGTCCGAGATCGACTACGTCGTCGTCGACGCCGGCCGTGGCGTCGACGTCGTATCGTGCGCGACGGACGGCGACGACGACGGCCCGT